TTATTATTTTTTTACTTCCTTAAGTATCTGTTTTAGTTTTTCCTTATAAAACGTGTCCACATTCGCCAATCAAACAATACAACATAATTTTGATTTGTGAATGGCATCTGTACCAGCAGGCACTCTGCAAAATCAACCCCTGCACCTGTAATAACAAAGCTAAACCCATTAGACAACACAAGTTTGTGTTCAGACTTATTACATTTACAAGCATAATCGATGTACTGGGAGGGAGGGCGAGTTTTTTGGTTTTATATTTTAGTTCAATTGTCTTCTGCCTTCCTTCTTGGATCAATCTGCACCTGCAGGCACTCTGCAAAATCAACCCCCTGCAAAAGTAATTATAAAAATTAGCCCATTAGATGACAAAATTCTGTGTCCACACTTTTTATATTTACAAGCATAATCAATTTACTGGGAGGGAGGGCGAATGTTTTGGTTTTATATTTTAGGTCAATTGTCTTCTGCCTTCCTTCTTGAATCCATCTCCACCTGCAGGCTTGCTGCAAAATTAACCAACCCTCGCAAAAGTTATTATAACAATTGGCCCATTAGACAACTCAAGTCTGTGTCCACACTTGTTATATTTACAAGCATAATCAATTAACTGGGAGGGAGGGATGATTTTTTGTTTTATATTTTAGTTAAATTGTCTTCTGCCTTCCTTCTTGGATCCAAATTCAAAAAAGATCGTGACGTCAGAATTAAAGGTTCATTAACTACCAATGAGATTATGATTTCATTAAACTCACTAATAACCGAACAAAACATATAGGGTACAGCGTTTCTACATGATAAAACTATACCATGTGAAAACTACGTATCGTCGTTAATAGTTGTTTGTTTAATATAGAAAAATAAACGCTGAACCAGTTGAAATTAGAAGATTATTTAAGTTTTACATAGTATTGTATTTACAAAGGAAATGTTGTAATAGACAAATTCATAAAACCATTAAGTAATTTTGCCAGTCGTATAAAAGTTATATGGATACATTTACCATTGTTTGATTGGTTAATAACTCTTATAATGGCGTGCTTTTAATCATTGTTTTCAAAAAATATCCTACACAACCTTCTTCCATAATTTAACTTGTCAAGTTTATGTTGGACCACTCCATTCAGTTTTAAGAACAGCAAACACAACTAGAAGCCAGAAATGTTACTGCGAATAAATGTTCAAGACAAAAAGTAACATATAAAGTAACTCTCATATATACTTATTGAATCAAGTGCACCATATTTACATCACATTTACACCGATTTTCAAGATTAAATGTTGGCGCTATCATTTTTTTTCTGGGCAGTTCTCTGTTCAGTTTCTTTTATTTCTCTTCGGTGTTTTCATCCTGTTTTTAAACACTTTGTGAGTTCGTTCACAAAATGAAAAAAGGTAGAAAGTCATGAAAGTTTTAATTTTAATACTGATTGAAACACGTTATACCAAAAACATCTACATGCAGTTCTGAAAGCCTGTAAACTAGTAGTTTTATTTTCGTTACAAATGCATTTCCAATTTACTTTCTGAGATTAATTATTCTGATATAAGAAATTGTTATATACTCATTGAATACCAACGTTTATGTCTTTTACCATAAATAATGAAAGAGACAATAAAATATTAAACAGATTTGTACGAATGAAAGAATGAAGGGATGATACGGAATTGTGAAATTTAATGGAATATTGACGGTAAATCAGTGGAAGAATTTTACTACAAAGCCAATTTACTGACTGTTATAAAATTCCTTAAAAAGGACGCATTGTATGATCGCCAATGAGATAAATTTTACCATTCAACTTTCTACAAAGAGAAAAGTCTATTCCGTATATACACATGTAATTAGTTCCCGACATGACTAAATGTAAAAAAAAAATATTAAACGATGCAAATATCGGCCTGATTTAAAATTAAACATTTTACTTAAAAAAAATATGACAGACGTCAGCAAACCAAAGACAACCACTGAATTACATGGGACAGGAACACCAAAATGTGACAGAGTTAAACATGTTGAAAGATTTCAATGCCTTCTATAATATTCTTTTCTAGTGCAATAGTTTCAATATGCATACGACGATCGCATCTTGCACTCTAAGGGTACATCTATAATACTAAAATAACGAGGTCCAATTTGTTAGCCGGCATGAGGTAAAAATAACGAATCAAAGAATTCAACTTTATATATAACTAATATAGGACAATGCTGTTGATTAAAATGACAGCATTCCAGGTCCTTTTGCGTTCTACATAATCATTATTATCAATAATTAACAAGTTCCGGGTCGAATCCGATAACGATACCAATAGTATATGTCACGTGTAGTTTTCGGTTGTAGGTATATTCTGTATCTTCCTCCTTTAATAGGAGCAACACCATGGGTTATGGTGTAAAAGAGGACATTTAAACACTGTGTCGAAACAGATATGATGTGAGCATTTGCCTTCCCAGTTCCCCAGCATGGCCGTGACAAGTCTTACTACCAGAAAGTTAATCATCCCTAATACAATAAGTATAATGCTCACTCACTTGATTCGCTTATCCTCAAAATAAAAAAAAAAGCAAAATATGAAAAAAAACAATTTTAATATAAAATATGGGATAAGGTTACCCCGGATGTTACATAAATACCATGGCAACGAACGGAAAATCAGTAAGGACAAACATTTTTTGTACTTGGATTCAAAACCGATACCGCTAAATGTCCAGCTGGTAGAGGAAAGCCGAAAATTCTACGATAAGCATATTGGAAAAAAAACTACCGATCCATTAGTGGAACAGCTAAGAAAACCAAGACAGGTTCGAACAGAAAAGATTTTGAAAGCAGAGAAAACTGTGCACCTTATATCAGATGACATTTACAAAAACTAAAAAATCCAGTGCGAAAATAAGGCGTCGGTACTTCAATCACGGACCCGCGGATTCGCGGTGTGTGTTCTAGTGTTTATTCAAAATAGTGAGCTCAGTTTAACAAATTACTAAAGGAAATGAAAGTACATAGCAGGGTCGGATTCAAGGATGATAAAGTGGGAATTTGTCCCTGAAATTAGAAAAAAAACATCATTTGTGGCATGAAAAAATTCAAAAATAATACCTAGGTCCACCAGGCAATATCATTTAGGTTGTACCTTCCCGTAAACTCAAAACCGCGATCCGACACTGCGTGGTATGCAATAAAACGTGCAAAAAGAGATTAAGATTATGACGATTCATCAGTGATGGCTCTAGTTACTATCTGTGATAAAATAACTTTTAACAATTTGTATCAATTAGATTACCATTATCATTGATAGAATCCTTTGGCCACCTTTAAACACTTTATCCTATTTTCTATATTATTTTCATTCCAGCAGAAATATAAAATAACAATATCGTATATATTTGTAAATAGTTGTATATTTTAAAAGTAACTAAAAACTAAAGAATCATTTCTGAATAGTTGATTTCATGAAAGCAACAAAAACCTAAAGAATAGAACCACAAGTTATGTGTCAATATGTACTATAGTAGTGTTTTGGGTACTGAATCAGGTGCTGATTTAAATGTCAACAAACAACAAAGTATTTATTATGCGCCAATAATTTCAAAATTGCTGATGCAGTTGAATAATTTAAAATATAACCAAATAATGCGAACTGTAATAGTAAGGGGTAGCAGGTTGTGCCAATACTTTTATTTTATCTCAGCTTTAATGATTTAAAATGTCTATAAATGATCATCAGGTTAGAGATAAGCTGCTTTTGCAAGTTCAAGGCCGTAACACTTATCTAGATACTCCTGACTCAACCAACATTGTCTTATACCGTAACATATAAGTATAAAATAACGGTGGTGGGGGTTGAACATATAACAAACCAAACAATATGACAAAGAAGGAATATTGTGTATTAGCTAATGGCACAAAATCCCTATACGGACATGGAAAACCAAAAGCAATCGAATAGTGCTACTATTTCTGTTCATCATCTTAAAGTAATATTGCGGCCATTTCAACTCTGAAAAGATCCCTCTCGCGCCATTTTATGTTCATGTTGGTTCCTACTACCGCATTGAGCGGAACTTTGCTATATTTTGAGCATGCTTGATCTCTGCAAAAACGCATATGCTTGGCAATATTAACAAATCAAAGACTACAGAGGGTATAAGGGAATAAAATAAATACTGTTATTATTTTCCTGAACAATTTCATTGTTACAACGCAAACAACGAGGCAATCGTGGAGCAGTTCAAGACATGTGTTGGTTACCTTGCTAGGAAATGATGTATTAAGTGTGCAAATAATTCAGATAGATACTCATAATCAATGTTATGTTATCCAAACTGTATCAACACACTATTAAAACTATACAAGTTCACAATCACTAAAACAATACTATGTCTATTACCTATTAAAAAGGTAAATACAAATCGGAAATAGCTAACGATATTATAACAGTTTTCTTTGATACCCATTAGAACAGATTGTCATAAATACATGCAAGTGTTAAACAAATTAACATCAAATTGTACTACTTCAACGCCCATTAAAACAACAGTTTGTCATAAATACTTGTAAGTGTTAAACAAATTAGAATCAAATTAGCCCATTAGGTTCAATGTGTAAAATAAACACCATATACATATCTAGTACTAGTCTAATAAGTAAACAGTTAAATACCGATTTTACAATTTTTTATAAGTTCTCTAAAGTACGCTTTCTAAAGTACATGTTATTGCAACTAAAAAAGGAACTTTAGAAATTAAACCACTCATTCATTGCTTTATTTCTACTTGTGTTAAATTCTATATTTAAAGCAGTCATTACTGTGACTTATATTCTAAAGAAATAATGAAGAACGTCTTCACATAACGAAATCTTTATCTAAACTACATATGATCACAATATCGTGGCTAAGTAGCGACGTCGAATATACTGTTAGGTAATTACCGCGCTAAACGACGTTAAGACGTTTACCAAATAAAAAAAAACTATAATAAAAGAAAGTAATTTACAACATTACTATTTTGCTAGGTTAAAAAAACATTGACAGTCATTTCATGTCAAAACTATACCTTATTCTTATTTGTGCAGAAAAATGTAACATGCTTTACAATGTATATATGTTTTCGCTATTTCCAAAAAACAGATACTTGTGAAATAAAAAACAGGCAAAATATGCCCTCCTATTTCAATTTAGCATTTTTTTTTTATTTAATTAAACTTTCAACAAGGTATCTGTGCTGATTCAAAGTCGTTAATCTTTCATTTGATACCGAAACTACCCACATATTTTACTTATTTACAAAGTTTTAGATATTCTTTGGAACTAATATGTGTAAAATATATACTTCTTCTGATCGAGCCCTCATAAGTGATTCTATATCTTTAGTTGATTCTCCAACTTATATTTCCTTTTACTCTTAAATGTATAAAAGTACGCAAAATTCTTTTATCGATACTTGTTTTATTGCAAATTGACTGTAAGAAGTTGAGTTTTAACGATTCTAACCAAAATCATATAGTCATATAGATACTTATATATTGAATCTTCATTGAATTCATAAAATATATTTTCGCTGAATTAGTACACATTTTTGCTTGGAGGCCAGCTGAAGACCGCTTCCGGGTGTGGGATTCTATGGTTGTGTTGAAGACCCATTGATGGCCTTGTGCTGTTTTCTGCTCTATGGTCGGGTTGTTGTCTCTTTGACATATTCCCAGTTTCAATTCTCAATTCTATTTATAAGATACCTCATATAAAACTACTTTATAAATTCAGATATATGATTATTATTGTCTCGTTCCAATTTCTTTCTTTTTTTAAGTTGCACGTATTTCTGAAAAGGGGAATATTGACAAGCGAAAGTGGATATTGATAGTGAGAGTATTAAATACTTGGCAAGGAACAATCTGAAGTGTAGACATATATAGTTAATGTTGAAGGTCTTAATGCCTTACCAAGTCAGGAATATGACAGTTGTTTTCCATTAGTTTGATGTGTTTGGGCGTTCATTTTGACATTTGATAAGGGACTTTCCGTTTTGAATTTTCATTGGAGTTCGGTATTTTTGTTATTTTACATATTAGATGAAGAACTGCAATGAAAACACTGTTCCTTTGCTTTTTGTTATGTGCGTGAATTGGTTCTGTTTCAATAATCGATACCCAATATCCTTTCTTTTTATTATATTTGAATAAAATATATTGTCTCTCGAGCTGTGTGGAGGCCATAAAAACCTTCCTCGTGTTTGAGATGTGTGATCCTATATTTTTTGGCATATTAATTTTTGAGATTACTCCTTTATATATGGTAGTTCCCGACTAATCTTGTCGATTCATACGCAACTGTCTGCAAAATTATCCCACGTTGTATATGTTATTCGGGATCTTTAAAGGGGATATGGTTGCATATTTCATGTCAGTGTTTTCTGGCATCGACTAGGAATATTAGCCAATATCCCCGTGTGAAGCCCACATGTAAATTATTTAAACTGGAATGTCTTGATGTCAACATTAAATACCATATTGATCTTCTTTTTTGTTAAACAGGGAGTATGGGCTCATATCCCTTGTAAAGGTAACCAAATCAACATTTCTGATTAGCCGGGATATTTCACTCGTCATGTTTCTAAAATGTTCATTGGAAGATACCAAGACCTTGTTGATAAATATTACGTATCAACTTCACAAATAATACATGATGGTCTTGAAGTATAGATCCTATGTACTGACGTTGTTTATCATCTTGTTCCCACTTTTTTGTCATTGTAAATTTTAAACCTTTACTATTTACTGTACTTATACATCCCGCCATTGTGCTATGGTCAATTATGAGTTCCTGTCTTTCATTTTTTGCTAATGTACTTTGTCTATATGCATTTTTTTTTTCTTTGTTGAAACGGTTATTTGTTTTATAGTGATTAAGATTATATTACAATATTGACTGCTTTACCCCAATTTTTGACGTTTTTACCTACTATGGCTGTTTGTTTTACTCACACATTGTTGTCAATATAATGGAATTCTATGTGACTGTCATACAGTTGAGAGGTTTAGCTAGCTATAAAACCAGGTTTAATCCACCATTTTCTACATAAGGAAATACCTGTACCAAGTCAGAAATATAACAATTGTATTCCATTCGTTAAATGTGTTTGAGACTTTGATTTTGCCATTTTATAAAGCGCTTTCCGTTTTGGAGTTCAGTATTTTTGTAATTTTACTTTTCACTCCGTTACGATATATATTGATGTACCCCGTAGTTGTCTAAATGTTTGCATTGAGTCTGCATTTTAAAAAAAGATTGTTGGGCAATTTTTGACAGTATTTGTCTTTGCTTATGTGCTTTATCTATAGCCATTTTGTTTTTCTTTGTTAACATATCTTTTAGTTTTTATAGTGATAAAGATTATAACACAATTTTGACTGCTGTAACCCTATTTTGACATTTTTACCTATTATGTCTGTTGGTTTTGTTCCCAAATTGTTGTCAATTAAATGGATTTCTATGCAACTATCATAAAAGTTAGAGGTTTAGCTAGCTATAATACCAGGTTTAATCCACCATTTTCTACATAAGGAAATGCCAGTACCAAGTCAGGAATATGACAGTTGTTTTCCATTCGTTTGATATGTCTGAGCTTTTGAATTTACCATTTGAAAAGGGACTTTCCGATTTGAATTTTCCTTGGAGTTCGGTATTTTTGTTATTTTACTTTTTATTTCAATGCAACATATAAATCATAATTGGTAAATATTATCCAGCACATGTGTTCTTCAATGCACAGCTGTATCTTGGTCAACATCTAGTTGATAAATTCCTCTCAAACTGTTGCCAGAGGTTGTATATAGAAATTGCGTTAAAGGTAAGATTTTTTCCTCAATGTTGAAGACCCAACGAAGTGAACAACAGTACTGAAAGCGCTGTTCCTTTTTGGGTTTTTTTTTCATGTACTTGTAGTAATTTTGTATCACGAATTGATATATCTTTTTTGTCCATAAATTCAAAAGAAAGGTAGCTCTGAATTTCTAAATAGACAAGCCTGAGCATAATAAGACAAACACAACCACTTAGATCACGCACATACTTATATGAGCAATTCTTTTAGTACTAACAGATCCTTTAATCGAAGGAATAATTATAAAACCCTGTCGCCATTCAGTTTCGATCGCTGAACTTTTAATATAAAAATAAGGAGATGTGGTATGATTGCCAATGAGACAACTATTCACCAAAATTCAAATGAAGACGATGCAAGTAAATACAGGCAGTCATGCGGCCTTCAACAATGAGAAACAACCATACCGTATAGTCGGCTATAAAAGACCCCGACATGAAAAATAAGAAACAATTAAATTGAGAAAACTAACGGCCTAATTTAAAACAAAACAATTTACGAGAAACAAATATGACAGACATGAACCAACGACAACAACTGAACTACAGTATCCTGGCTTGGCTTACAGTCACATAAAGAATAGGGGAGCGCTCAAGCCTACCCCTAACCTGGGACAGTGGTGTAACAGCACAACATAAGAATTTTGAAAATCTTATAAATACTGTTTAGAAACTTATGTGATATAGGAACGTCACATTGAGAACGTCACAATTACTATCTAGTGAATAATTTTCATTCATAAAAATCACTTTGGTTTCTTCATATAACATACACATCAAATCAGGGAATAAAACAAATATAGAAACTGTCATTATTTTAAAACATTTTTTATCAAAATGTGTATCATATAATGAAGAAATTAAAAATGAAGAAATCACACGTCTAATCACTTATATATATCATATAGATATCACATTGAATAGAACAGAAGAAGAGAACTAACATGTTGTATATCCATAAGCATGTAAAATACATTCTTAATTTCTTTTCTTGATTATTTTGATGCAAGGATGGATATTATTGCCGTAGTTACAATCAGATTCAGTGCAAATGAAAACCAAAATAGAATAAAATCTAAGAGAGAAGTAACATCAATCCAGTTAATGTCGTCTTCCGACATTCGTTCCTCGTCAAAAGTTTCGACTTCATTTCTGTTTGCTTTGCAGTTCCCCGTTTTACACACCTCCACGCCTTTAAACTTGCAATGCCATTTAACTATTTGTCTGATTCTATTTGGGACAGGGCTTTTCTTGTGATGAAGTCTCAATTCTACGGCAGTCGCACATACTACAAATATACCCATTCCTAGCTGAAAAATCAGATAGTATCCTAACATCGAACCAGATGTTTTCGGTAGCTCCGAACTCACAATTGTAAGGAAAACAGTAAACGCTAAAAATACGGTTATAGAATATCCCATCTTCTCACCACTGTCTGCCGGAAGTACAAATGTGAAAAAGTTCAGAATACCAAGGAGAATAACAGGAACGATAATGTTTGTGACATAGAATCCAGCATTTCGTTGGAGATTTAATGTAAATGTAACTTTTGGTACCAAATCTGAAGAATATTGAGATGCTGAAGTCGATACAATTGTCCATTCGGCATTGTCATCAGCATAATCCAATAAAACAACGCCTTCGCCTCCCAATTTTACTTCAATCGAGAGATCTTTAGTTGACCATGCCACAAATATTAACTGACATGCCTGTCTGTCAAATGGAAAATATGTTATATCTATTTCACATTTGCTTTCAAATACTTCAAATGGATACCAAGACACATTTCCGGTACTCTGTACGTCAACATATATCACTGAGCTTCCTAGTTCTGTCAGTTTTGTGAATCCGTTTTTCAAAGTAAGGTCTGGTTTCCACACATCATCTTGAGGGACTTTAATGTAATCTGCATTACCGTAGAACATTGGTGTCCATGTCAAGTATTCGTCCAACCAGTGTACAGACAAATAAGCCGTCGTTGCAAGCTTTTGTGACAGTTCATCTATTCCGTTTATTCCTATTACGTGCAAGTCAATGGACACCAACGTAGACAAAGTCTGGTCGATACTCGGGCGCACAACCTTCATATAGTTACTGGTTTCAAATAAATTCTCATATAAACTTGCGATGTCAGTACCAAGTGTTGATCCCGCATTAACGCTCGGGAAGTAAATGCATATTGCAAAAATAATGTAGAACATTTTCAGCAATCTCAAACTGATCTTTTCGTTCAGTTTGTATGCAAACGATTCCATATAAGAGTAATTAAAGAGTACCAAGTAAGTGCTTTTTAAACCGACTAAATATGATCAATGACGAAAGCACTTAAATAAAGCAATTTGATTTGTTCTCCAATATTACATTTCAGATGGTTAGCATGAATCAATATTTTATGTTAAAATACAGTATCAAATATTTCATGTACTCTTGCAATAAGATATAATGCTCGGGACAATTTTCCTCAATATAAGAGTTATAACCCTAAATAATTATAATAGTTCACAAAGACGAGAGTAAGCACCGTTACCCATTGATAATTACCATATTTTCGTTAAGTATCAAAAACGCCTTTACTTTTCATGCAAGCTAGTCTTCAAATGTAGAGCAGGATTTTATGGAAGAGGAACATATATGTAGAGGATAGCAAAATATGTCTTTGATAGTTCTTTGTTGGTTGAGCTTACTTGAGATTCTATTATATCTACACGTTATAAGTTTTCGGTTAATTTGGGAATATTAATCGTTGGTTTCAAATTTACAAAGAAGCGTTATACCCTAGTTTTGGTCAAGTGACATTGAACACTGAACAAAATAGTAGTTAGAGCAGGATGTACTTAATACTAGATGTGGATGTATATATCTGTTAACGAAATGGCGCTTTATCTATGACCATTGGCTATCCTGATGTGTTATTGTTTTATAAACTACAAACATTTTGCGCGAATAAAAAAATCACAGTACGTTAACACGGATTAGTTTGCGCTGTAGTGATTTATTCCATACTGTAAATCAGGAAAACAAGAATGGAAAATAAAATTTTATCATTTATTCGATCAGGTTTTTACTTTGAAATAAAACGTGATTATTTTTCATCCTATAAATTCCTCTTCTAGCGCTCCAAATATTTTATCAACTGACATTTAAAAGGGTTTTTATCGTGATGCATATATGCTTAATCCTTGTACAGTTTTTTTTTTTTTTTTTTTTTGTATTATTTCCAGTCTACATATTTCAACTGTGGATTTTTTTAAGATACGTGCGTGCATAGTTTATATTACAAACATACTACTTTTGGTTCCTACAGAAATAATATGACATGAATAGACATAAAAGAAGAAGACAGGTACAATTATAAAACATAATAATCAAGCCCTTGTGCTTTCATTGTGTTTTAGTCCATTGACTGATACATGTAATAAAGAAGCGGTATTAAACGACACGTTTCTGCTTGTCATATGTACGCATTAAATATAGACGGTTTAAATTAACTGTTTACAAAATTTTGAATTTTTGAAATACTAATGTCTACCTCAGGAATAGATTACCTTAGCTGTATTTGGCAAAACTTTCAGGAATTTTTTGTCCTCAATGCTCTTCAACTTTATTTGGCCGTTTTAACATTTTTTGATTCGAGCGTCACTGATGAGTCTTTTGTAGACGAAACGCGCGTCTGGCGCAAATATAAAATTTCAATCCTGGTATCTATGATGAGTTTATTTAATACATTTGATTGGTTGAGACAATCCTAGGTGATATTGAACGAAACATCATATTCCCATCTGAACATCGTGAAAACTTCGCGCGACGAAACGCGCATTTTAAATTGTTTCAACGGGTATAAAATATCAAAATCATTGTAAATATCATGTTTAAGCTTATTGCAGGCGTATAATCAAACCTGAAGAAAAAACGTATCGAATGTTTTCATTATTTAATGATTGATATACAATTTAAGTCATGAAAGTATAAAATTAACATACTGAGATTAATCGTGTGCACTTGATCATTCTAGATATCAAAGAAAGAAGTGAATAAACACTGCAAGGAGACATTTGTTCGCCCTAGAAAATCGTGTGCTGCATTCGGGAAATATGAATTTTATTGAGTTAAAAAACAATCTTTCCTACCTCCCTTAAACAAGGGAACTAAATATGTATTATTTTTTATTATACAGAAGTAAAATATCCCGGCTAATCATGTAAATTGATTGGTTTCCTCGACAGGGTATATGAGCCGTGTGTACAAAAACGAAGATCAGAATGGTAATTAATTTTGAAATCATTACCCTCCAATATTATTTGAATGTTATTCGGGTTTCAAAAGATATATAGGCTCATATTTGCTGTCAGTGCTGTTTATCACATTCGAATGACGCCTCAGGGGATATGAAGTACAGACAGAGACGATAAGCCCCTATCACCCGTGAAGACCCCGAAGAACATACAATTTGAGTTTTACCTGGTATAAACTGTACTCTATTATTCTATATTCAATCATAGTGGTGGTATCAAACGAGAAAAAATAAACTCATTCCATTTAATGAACTTTAAACTTTTATTTTTCTCGTTGAAAGAAAATATCCTCTTTTTATAGAATACGTATGTCTCAATCTAACTATGCCTAATTATTACATGAAACTTTATTCTTACCTTTTGTCTGGCTCTATCAAATTCTAAATCACATGAATGAATGATTGGGATTTTTAAAAAGCAGAAATAAAAGAATAAATGATATTTTGACAAATGTATATAAATAAGAAACATAATACGAACTATAATTCAATACAACAATAAGAACTACATGAACCCAGGGATAATAAGGTCTTTTTAGAGACAGTTGAATTTAAATATTTTTCTTTATTTGTAGAATATGTTAAGGCGTTAAACTAAACAAAGGTTTATTTTCCAGTACATTAATAGTTGGTAGGAGAATACGTATAATAGTTGATAATAATTCTGACACTGAATACGATTCGTAATGATTCTTAGAACTATTTTTCTTTATTATTGGTGCTTGTCAGCCTGCAATGGACAAACAGGGGATGACGTGAAAAGCTTGGTTACTCAATTGTTCACTACCAACACTTATAAAAAGAATGTCCGCCCAAACGCTGATCAAACAAAGCCAATGCAGGTGGACTTGGACTTCTATCTTGTCGGCATCAATGGAATAGACGAAATAACACAAAAACTAACGACAACAGGTTTTCTGTTTATAAGTTGGACAGACGAGTACCTTACATGGAACTCAGCTTCACACGGTAACGTAGAATATATATATGTTTCTCAAAGTGATATATGGAAACCAGACATAACACTTCAAAATGGATTTTCAAAACTTAAGGAACTTGGTGATAGTTTTATAAATGTTCAGATTTTGCCAACAGGCGAAATTACTTGGTTGCCAACTGAAGTGTTTGAAACAAAGTGTAATATTGATATCAAATATTTTCCTTTTGACCGTCAAACATGCGAAATAGTTTTTGTTGTCTGGTCCAGTAGCATATTGGACGTAAATGTGACAAAAGGAAGTAGAGGCATACTTCTGGAAGCATTAGATCCTAATGGTGTGTGGAGTGTTGTATCGACATCAGCCGGGGACGATGTGTTGTCGTCGGAGTCAAGAGTTGTATTTACAATAACTCTCGAGCGTAGTTCAGCGTACTACGTCATGAATGTCATTGTCCCTGTTATATTACTTGGCATACTAAATGTTTTTACGTTTGTAATCCCAGCAGACAGTGGGGAGAAAATGGGATACTCCATCACAGTTTTTCTGGCATTTGCCGTCTTCTTAACAATTATAAGTTCTGAACTTCCGAAGACATCGGGATCATTACTGGGGTATTATCTAATGTTCCAAATGGGCATGGGAACGTTCGTTGTAGCTGTGACAGCCTTTGAATTAAGAATTCATCATCGGAAAGACAAAGTCCCACATAAAATTCAAAGAATTTTCAGAAGTAAATGTAAAACTCGAGTAAAAAGTTCAGATAAAAAATTTGACAATCCAGAAAAAGATAAGGAAAATGAGGACGGAGAAAAGACTTGGAGTGATATAACATCAACAACAGATTTTGTATTGTTCTGGGTATCATTAGTTTCCACGTTCATAGTTACTGTGACCATCTTGGGATTACTTTCATCGAAATATAAATAAAAGTGATTTACTTTACTACCGAGAACACCGTCATAAATCCGTTTATTCTGAATTTACCTATTAAGTATTTAGAGGGTAGTCAATTAGGTCCGTGTATATTTGCGTCCATTCGTTTTTCGTTTTGAGGTATCAAAAACAAAAAAACGAAAGTGTTTTCATTTTTCGTTATTGATTTTTGAAAAACCAAAATGAAAAACAAAATTGTTTTCGTTTTTCGTTTTCGATTTCTCAAAAACCAAAACGGAAAACAAAAGTGTTTTCGTTTTTCGTTTTTGATTTCTCAAAAACCAAAATGAAAAACAAAATTGTTTTCGTTTTTCATTTTTGATTTCACTAATCAGAAAAGAAATTACATATTTGGATTCAATTTCTGTATTTAGTTTTAGTTATATATCGTTTTAGATAGTATAATTATGGTTTACATATATCCTTATTGCATAGAAATTAAGAGGCTGATACAAAATATTGAGTCTAAATAAAGACCCTGATTTTTTTTTAATAATCCTAGATTCCAATACGGAACTGTATTGTATCAGTAACTACCTATTATCAATGATTTACAATATTTCTTACATAATGTCATTGTGCATCTCATGTTGCCTGTTCATTTAGATGATAATTTGAAAACGGCTACTTTCTTTAAAAAAACAACTTCCTATTTATTACATGTAAGTCTTAGTTAAGTATTATTTCATTGCAAATAAAAAATATGGACAAAAATTTAGCTAAAATTAATCTTCTCTTTAATTCCAATATTTAAGAAAGGAAATCCTGACGATCCTAAAAACTACAGAGGTATTTCATTGGTGTCACATCAAGGAAAACTATTTACGTCGTTGATTCATTCAAGACTTATAACACCGTGCAAGATTAACAACACTCTGACAGATGCACAGTTTGGATTCCGTCCTGGATACGGCACTTCTGATGCCATCTTCTGTCTTCATTCTTTGATTTCTAAGTCGTTAAGAAAGGGTAAACGCTTGTACTGTTGTTTCATCGATTATATTAAAGCCTTTGATAGTGTTTTTCATGTAAAGTTATGGTTTAGACTAGTTAGATGTGGAGTTAATGGTAAACTTCTTACTGTAATTAAATCTATGTATTCAAAATTAAAAACTTGTATAAAGTGTAATGGAAAACTTTCAGATTTTTTCGATGTAATACTGGCTTGATGCAAGGGGAATCTTGACCTCCATTATTATACTCAGTGTATGTTAATGATATGGAAGTAGAGCTAATTAATAATGGCTGTCGGTCATATGAATTGAAATCTTTAAATTTATTCTTACTTATGTACGCACTTTTATTTAGCGAGAACATAGATGATTTGCAAAATATGATAAATGCTGTAAACTCTTCTTCAAAGGAATATGGTTTATATATCAAAACGTCTAAAACTAAAGTAGTCGTGTTTCGAAATAGAGGTAGTGTAAAAAGTCAAGAAAAATGGTTTTTAAATAATAACCAACTTGATATATGTGACAATTTTGTATATTTAGGTATCCTTATTAATTATAATGGTAGCTTTTTACATACACAAAAAAATGTTAGCCAATCAAGGTAGAAAGGCTGTTTTTGCTTTATGTAGTAAAATTGTAGATGATTATTATAACTGTGAAACGTTACTGTCCTTATTTGATACTTATGTATCTAGTATTCTTAATTATAGCTGTGAAGTGTGGGGTAATCATAAAGCTGATGATATAGAAAAAGTACATTTGTATTTTTTAAAACGAATTCTGAAAGGTTCGAAAAACTGCTGTTATTTACATGGTTTACTGTGAATTGGGACGTTACCCAATGTATTATGAAAGACAAAGAAAAATGATTCAGTTTTGGTTTAAATTATTAAATACTGATAACTGTATATTAAAAGCATGTTATGAATAGATGTTGGAGAGTTCATTTAAAAAACCCAAAGACAAATTTAATTGGGCATGTTCAGTCTGAGATATTTTATGTAAATATGGTTTTATGATGTATGGCTAAACCAAAGCGTAAATAATGTTGATATATTTACACATGAGCTTAAACAACGAATGAAAGATACCTTTATCACTGATGTTAATGCGTTTTTTAACAATTCATCTAAATGTAAACTTTATAGATATATATATATATATATGACACAGATATATTGCAATTTTATTGAGATAGACCTGTTAATCAAATATATAAACATTATATATGTAAATATCGTATCTCTGCCCATAGCCGTACTTTGACCTATAATGTTTTACATTTTACACATTGTGACTTGGATGGAGGGTTGTCTCATTGGCACTCATACCACATCTTCTTATTTCTATGTAATAGTTAATATACAAAAATTGGGAGAATTTTTTACATGATTTGTACACTAGAACTGTTTGGTTTGTAATATATATACCCTGACTCTAGAAATTTAAATTCGATGTTAATTATCACTCCCAAAAACTTCAAAATCATATTCGTTAATATCTGATAATGAATTTTTTATTTGGTTTCGGTACAAGGGATTGTCGAGAAAATATTAATCCGGAGATTATATGATATAATGAGTATATCTAATATAACTGGAACCACAAGGATATATTGGCGTATAGAAATTTGGTCATCCTTTTGTTTTTGTCCATCCGGCAGTAACACCTTGACTATATGGGGCGTCCATTTGGCTGTTCGGGACGTATAAATTTTGACGTCCGGTCAGAATGTATTTAAGGATATTTGGGGTAAAGATTTATGAGACAGCTACCCAAACAACCAAAAGATATCTAGGGGTAAATATACAGTCTTCCTTAATAGACAAGTGTCTATACAATATGTCAATGAATAAATTTATCCAGAAGCATTTGAAGACCTCATATCAGCAGATAGCAAAATGAAACCCTTAAGCTATGGCATAGTACAACCACTGAAGATACATATTTGCGAGATTAAAATAGTTTTATTTATCTCAAACGGCCTTCATTTTAGATGTCGATCAATCAACAAATAAAAGATACATTATAGAACATATAATTCAGTGTACAGGGAAAATGAGGTCGTTTTATTATGGTTAAATTCAATTTTTGAAATGCATTACTTTTTAAGTTTTTGGTATTGTCTAAACTTGTTGGCGAGTTCCCATTTAGATAAGTTATACCAACGTGTGTATGTATATGGCATTCGAATTTAATGTTATATATTTCAACAATGAATAGCAAAGAGACTTAATTCAATAGAGTATAGCTATCTGCATCAACATTACATGAAGACTATTCTAAACGTGTAACTTTTATTCACATTATTTATGGAAATAAAGGCATTCAGCTTTTTTCATTTATATTTCAATGTTTTCTATTTGTAACCTTGAATCTTAGATTACAACCACCATAGCAGTAAAAATATCATGCTTTGCCTATTAATGTTGGAGTTAAGAAAAATGAAAAATCACATATCTTAACATTTTTGTCGCCTAAACGGTGAACCCGCCTCAAAACTATTGATATATGTTTAAACATTTGACATGTTTCTTTTTTCGAGCAACATATTTAAATTCTCGAAATTTATACTATGCGCACGCATTGGTATAAAAAAAAATTATTGTTATACCTATGTGATCATTTACAATTTCGACATTCAATTATCATTGAATGTTACGATCAACTTAGAGACAATAACTGTTGAGACAGGGCTTTGATCTCTTTGGATTCAAATCAACCAGCTATTCTTCATAATTGTCCTCAGATTCAGAGTACGTCAGCAACAAATCGTCTGCAAAAAGTCAACCAATTTTTTTATAGGTTATCAGTTATTAAAAAAATAGCAGAAGAAACAAAAACAAAACCCCGAAAAACACAGCCCGGAAAAAAGTATAGATATTTCACTATTTACATGAAAATGGTATCTAAAAAATCCTTCAGCCAACAGTGCAGCTGAAATTCCAGAAGATTGTAATTTCTTTGGAAGGTCGACCCTTGCGTCACACCCTTTAAAACGTTTGTCAACAATAATGAGAACAGAAACGCATATCAACAATAATAAAAACAGAAACGCCTATCAACAATAATAGGAACAGAAACGCATGTTAACAATAATAGGAACAGAAACGCATATCAGCAATTATAAGAACAGAAACGCATATCAGCAATAATAAGAACAGAAACGCATGTTAACATAATAAGAACAGAAACGCATATCAACAATAATAAGAACAGAAACTCATATTAACAATGATAAGAACAGATACGCATATTAACAATGATAAGAACGGATACGCATATCAACAATAATAGTTGAAAAACAGGTTGCATTTCTTTCGATTTTGAAAATTGTATGGTAAACCTTAATTATAGTTTGTAGTTTGTAAAGTGACGTAGAAAACAAGAATGGAATTATTCAAGAACACTATGTCTAACAATATATCGGTCCGTATAATTATCTTAATTACTTTTTTCGTTATTTTGATAAGTCAAGAAATTCCAAATTTTAGATTTTATTTCCCTATAGCATGCAAAATCTTTGAATGTACATGCCCTCCATGACAACATTAAATAAGGCATGGAAAAGCAGACGAAATGCTTGTTTTAACTCTTAATTTCATGGTTATACCATAAACATGTAATTATATTTAAGATTTAAAAGCTTCTTTTTGTAATTTTTTAAGAGTATTTTAAAAAGCCTTGAGCAAATGATATTTTATATAAAGCGCTCCACGCGGATTCATATAAATTGTGCTTCTGTCAACGCTTTTACATCCCCAAAAATTCCAAAAAGAAGCATTCAGTTCCGAAATAAACCTGGCCTTATCCTTAAATCGGATGGAGATTTTCTTTTTCCAAAAGAACACCTGTACTTAAAGCATTTTATGGCTTTGCCTACTTTAGATTTTGAACATGTCTTTAGATTTCTCATGTACAGTTAGACTTATGCTATGTAAGAAGTTGCGAATACGAGATGCCTATCCTGTTTTATGGAGAAAAAGAATGATGATGGATTAGTTTTTAAATCCATTGGCAATTATTATATACACATAAGTACGAGAATGTATTCAGCAGACACGCCGATCCGGATTTTATCTTACTGGTTCATATCTTAACAGTCAACATGACGACATGTCAACCTACCCTGACACATTAAACTGACATCGAAAGAACCAGTGTTTGCTCTCCTCCTAATTACTTCATGCTAATTTGAGAGCAGATACCAATGTGTATGTCATTGGTTTGATCCGGCCGGGGATATATCCAATGGACTCTAGACGGCAGCGCGCTATAACGATAGCACCGATGCGCTTTCGTTTTATAAATATGGCCACATAGTCCACAATTTGCTATTGGAACTGAACAAAATTTATTCGGATTAGGAAACAAAAGATTAACAATAATATTTGGGATTGAGAATTTTGTCTAAGTTTCATTCAAATTTAGGAGGAGAGGTGAATACAAGCTGTCTTCTCTTTTTACAGGCATTACAATATAAGTGTTTAGCCTTATTTAGTTAACATTTCTGTTTCTCAATTCAAAGTTTGACGGGCTAAGTCTCCATTGAGGCATCAGGTATCGGACACGCTTTCATGATGCTGATGACAATGCTTAATTTAAGTTCCACCCACCAAGTCATAAGACATCGGGTTGATGTTTTTAAAATGTTCTCCTTTTTTTCTTTGCATTTTGTATCGATTGCAGAATCATGTGGTCCACTTCTTCGGAAGTCACCATTTCTCCGTAGCATCAAAATGTGTAAATTCTGTATCCCAAGACAAACACCTGTCCTATTTCGTCATGTTTGTAATAAACAAAGACTATTTACGTCTAAAACCTACCATTTCGTTAAGATTACGTACTTTTGCCCGAGACTTTAAAGAATTTTAATTGTAGGATAGTCGATAAAGATTGGGAAATGTTTTCAAAATATCTGTTTAATAAAGAAGAATTAGTAGTCTTCTATAGTTACATGCTAACCGCCTGTGTGTGTAACCAGTGGTAATATGAGTCATCTTATTTGGCGAAAAGTGATTTGTGAATAAGATTATTTTTTTCCGTAAAACCCGAAAATAAAAACAAATATTATGAAAACTTAGAAGTGTGAATAATGTTATAGGTATCTATCTGGTCATTGAAAATAAGTCCTTTAAAATTAAAAAAAAAATATTAACTCCGATGAAAGCTAAAATTTTATCAACTATAATCTCATGGAAACTGAAACTGTATAATTGCTAATTTGGAGAATATACCAGGGGTTTTAAACTTATGGTCACATACTTAAATATCACTTTTTTAATAAACAGTCTTGAAGATTCTTGTTTGTTTGTTTTGTCGTCTAGCAACTAGTTTCTTTTCACTATTTTTAGCTATTCAATTGTATGGATATTAAATGGCAGACAATGCATGATTATTTCGTGAAATCTAAGTATTTGATTTAATGATCGAACTAACCGTTGTTTAAATAATGTTTTATCCTTATACAATCTTACTTGCATTCTTATAGAACCAAACCACGGGTGCTCTATATAACCTTTTACTGGTTTCTATATTGTTAACGATTTTAGGAGTAATATAAGTACATCCATCACATTTTCAGTTCTTAGTGCCAGAGACATTGGATACAATGTATCTAAATCATACAGTTCTCCTTTGAATAACCTGACTAAAAACAGTTATATATATACTCTTTTCCTCGAATGTGACCCACCAAATAAGACTTATCGCCGAGTTTGTTCTTACATGGGCAACATTACGGATTCCACAAGAGGAGAAGGATCAAGTTACCATTCCGTAGCATCTGAGATCACCCCCCGGTTTTTAAAGGGGTTCTTGTTGCTCAGTCTTTAGTTTTCTATGTTGTGATTTATTTACCGATGTTAGTCTCTTGATACTTTTTTGTTTTTGCCATGGTATTGTCAGTTCATTTTCTACTTATGAATTTGAATATCCCTTTGGTTTCTTTCGCCTCTCTTTTACTGTAGCTTTACAAGTCTCTGACTTGATAGTTTTGCCATGGCATTGTCAGATTATTTTCTACTTATGAGTTTGAATATCCCTTTGGTATCTTTCGCCTCTCTCTTCTGCCTACCAAGGCAAAGGTACCCTCTTCAATTTTTTTGTTCAAAATCAATAAATGATAGTGGTTGAACTCCGTCGAAAAAAAAAACTAATCCATTCTGCGTTGACTGGATTTCAATGAAATTTTTAATACATAAAACAATTGTGCACTGTTATCATGATGTTTGAGTAATTATATAAAAAATATGGGGCATTATTTATCTTTTCAAATTACATGTAGTTTAGTATAATATATAGAATCATGTGCAAAACAGTGTAGCCGAGACCATTGATTGGCGCGCTAAAATATCCCATTGACTGGGTCAGATTAGGTTCAACGTTCGTCTGTAACGCCCACAACTCACGACGTATTTATTATAAACATTTAAACTGTGGGGTTGCCAAAGGGTCTCAGTATATATACGAACTACAGTGCACAGTATATTATATACATATTTTATTTGCGATCATAAAATGTACAAAGTCGTCCATTACTATGTAAATTGGGTCGATTAAAAAAAAAGCTGAATATGTTTCTGTTGCCAAGGGTTTTTCACAAGTATAGTAGTTAGCAGAAAAGATCACCAAACTATACATTTTACCTATTCAAAAACGTAAATGCAAATTTCACAAGGCTTGATCCAAATAGCCTTTTTACTGTCTAATAACTTGCAAGTACGAAAAAGACAGGAAAGAAGTATATTTTGTCTATATGTTTTGTGTTTGCACACTTTTTAAAGTTGGTCATGCATTCGTTCTAAAATAAAATTTTGACCAGATAAAAGTTAAAAGATGACATAATTAGACAACCGCAATTGTTAAATCGCTTTGACGTCCGAAAAAAAGATAATAATCAACACATCCATTGTGACTTTTAAAGCCAGTTAAATCCTTTTTTGCTGAAAGAACGTCCGATATCATAAAAATTCATTATCAAAACATAACAAAAACACGTAAAGTAAAGAACGTTTAAGTATTCAACATAAATCAAAACACAAAGGTTATTCCTGATTAGTTTTTCGAATTATTTTATTGAGGCGTTGAGACCCTTTGGTGACTCCACAGTTTAAATGTTTGTAATAAATACGTCGTGAGTTGTGGGCGTTACAGACGAACGTTCACTTAATCTGACCCAGTCAATGAGATATTTTAGCGCGCCAATCAATGGTCTCGGCTACACTGTTTTGCACATGATTCTAGAATATAATAGTCTACACACCGCCTTCAAAAATAGACCATGTCTACACACAGTCGTCAACAATAGACTATATATACACCCATTCATATGTTTCGGACTATGCGAGTATTTGGACCATACGCGTATACTCATATGGTCCGACCATACGCGTTTGTCGGACCATGTGAGTATATATCTACTTTGGATAGTAAGGGGACGGACCATATTTGTATTAAGACCATATAGTTGTTTTTCGAATAAGTTTGCAGGAACACACAGCTCGTTCTCTGAACAAAATCGGCACAAGTTAATAACTGTAATCCTTCATTTCGGACATACTGACTGAATCTTGGTGTATCTGCTATCATAGACTTCGCCAGAGTCAATTCAAAGCGCTTATTTCCTGTCGACCTTTTCGTTCGTCAGTGAAACCACAGACGTGTGGAACACGGAGCTTCAATTTTTTTATGCCCCTAGGTGGGGCATTATATTTTTCGGTCTGTGCGTCCGTCCGTCCGTCCGTTCGTCCGTTCGTCCGTCTGTCCCGCTTCAGGTTAAAGTTTTTGGTCAAGGTAGTTTTTGATGAAGTTGAAGTCCAATCAACTTGAAACTTAGTACACATGTTTCCTATGATATGATCTTTCTTATTTTAATGCCAAATTAGAGTTTTGACCCCGGTCCACTGAACATAGAAAATGATAGTGCGAGTGGGGCATTCGTGTACTATGGACACATTCTTGTTTTTAATATCTTTCAATGTCTCCTTTTTTCACTTAATTCGTGTGTTTTTGCTCCTATTTATACGAATTTACCATAACAGTAGTTTATTTGTGGTGCCACTGTAATCTTATTTTCTACATAAATGTCATAGATTCTATAGTCAATATCGAGGAAAATATCAAGATACCTTCTAGTTTTGGTAGTATCCTTAATCTTAAGATCACTTGGATATATTAGATGCAAGTACTCACTGAAATTTGAGCGACCTGACATCATCAATATATCTGGATGTAAAAATAAATAACTTTGAAAGACTGTTTTTGTCTTTGAGAAGGTTTTGTATAAATTCTGCTTCTGAGTACAAAAATAAGTCGACCAGTAGGTTTGCACAATTAGTTCCCATTTGAATCACACCTATCTGTTGAAATATCAATCCACCGAACTCAACAAATATGTTGTTGATCAAAAAGTCCAGAATTTTGACTTAAAAAAAGAAGTGTATATCTACGAATCCCATTTTGTTAAAAAAAAAAAAGTCTGTTAAATGGGACGACGAATTCGATCTTTCAACTGAGCTTTGGGAATATTAGTGTAAAATGTAGAAAAATCAAAAGTTTTGATATTACTGTAAAATTGTAAGGATTTAGATTGAAACTATTGAAGTAAATCTATGGATTTTTTTTTTATAATCCACATCTGATTGATACCGCTGGTTGAACATTCCTCATCACAATATTTCTGAAGGTCATTTTTTACTGTAGAAAGAATGGTGGTAAGAACTTTAAAAAGATATTTAGTCGAACATCCTGATGATACATCTATATACCGTTTCTAAAAGGAATTTTGTGTATTTATATACCAAGTATAAATACGGTAGATTTTTTTTATATTAAGGTAGATGGGGGGACTAAATTAAAATCCATAGAATTTTTTAATAATTTGTCAAAAAATGTAGTTTATATCATACTTTTTTCAAATATATAATAAAAAGTATGGGTCACCGGTTTTTTTTTACGCTGCAAGTTGTGCAAAATTATCAGATTTCGTATAGATTATAAATGGAAAACCCAATTTTGTGTGATAAAAAGAAAACTACACCATAGAATTTTAAGATAAAATATGAAAATATAGCTCTAATTATATTCTTTCAGATAAGAAAAAGAAAAAAAGGGGTAATCGGATTCGTTTTCTTACTACATAATTAAAATAGGTAAATTCACAACACATTCTACTATAAAAGTTATTTTATCTGAGTTATCTCCCCTTATGTGGCAAAGTTGAAATAGTTGGAAAAAAAATGAATCAAACAAAAATATTCTGTTTTTTGTAAAAAAAACCAGCCATAATTACGATAAAACACATAATTTTCTATATTAACATGAAAATTCTTACACATGAATTACATACTACTCTCGAAATTTGCACATTTCATTTTAGATCCTGACCATTTGTTATCTGCTATTTCAAAATCCAAGATGGAGGAAGACACCCCAGTTACCTTAATGTAAAAGGAGTGAAGGATGGATTTATGAATTTTCTAAAACAAATCTCCTGGTTTGTGAATGATGCAGGGTTAAATGTGTGACCAGTCGAAGCCGTGATTTCTTACACTTCCTCTGCTCGAAATACCAAAGGAGTAAAGAAGCACGACTTATCATTGGCTACAAAATAACGAATGACCGGGTCGCTCTCGACTAGAAAAAAAATACCTTCAAAAATAATCAAGAAGCTCCAGTCGTACAGGACATCACAAATACCTATTACAGCCAGCTACAAAAGATTGTAGGAAGTGGTCCTTCTACATAAATACAGTCAACTAACTGCCTCCGGACATTTTCACAGCAGTGTGACTTGAGATATTCCAGTTTCAAGTGACAACACCACTAACTAACCAATTCAATAATTTCGCTTTTAACCAGTTTTTAATCATGTGCATCTTGCTAAAATATTCAACATGCTGAATATGGGCATTATATGGAAGAAGAATGTATTAAAAAAAATAAGACACCGAAGCTTTCATCTCTTTTTGCTTGTTATATGTCTGTCAGAAAACAAAAAAGAAGTTTTTGGTAGACAAAATATCGCCAACTCTTCTTTTAATGTATAACACAAGAAAAGCTTGATCGTTCTTTGTGTTTTAATAATATGTTTGTGTTCAGAGACAGGATTATGTGGGTTGGACCAAGAGTTTTCTTCACTGAATGACTTCAATCAATTAATACATAAACAATGAATGCACAAATAAACAGATGTTGATATTTCTTGAAATCATAGATGAAAATGCATTCAATATATCACGCTTCATTTGTTGTATCGCATTGTCGAAAAAAAATACTTAATGTAGAACAAATCAGTTTCACAAAATGAAAAAAACATACTTATAGCCATACAAAAGCAATAGTCTAATTAATTTTTTTTTATATTCTGAAGTATTTGGACTTGAATACTACAGAAATAATATGATTTAGTTAAACGCTTACTCATAATGATATTTTCTAAATTCTCGTGATAGAAAATACAATAAGTTTTGTCTTTAAGTAAACAGTACAAATTTGCTGATCGACGTACCATGCTTAAAAGACAAGCATTATACGTGATGTTACTCAAAATTTATATTGAAGAAATAAATTTAACGAGAGAAACTTTCTCAAATATTTAATATCTAATCATTTTCATATTTATATCTTGAATGTATAAATATATTATTATTATTATTATTATTATTATTATTATTATTATTACAGTTTTGTATGGTACTATTTTGATTCTTCATTGATACGGGTGAGATCAAGTGAAGGGTATTTCTATTTTGGACATAAAGAAGGGACGACTTACTTCATTGTCTTATTAAAAAAAAAGTTTTTAATTTTTTTTTTTTATAAACTAGTACCAATTATATATATCATAGATATATGATTCTAACCCTTTTGACAAAAAGTGTTTGAAATATATTGAACAGTTACCAACGAATGTGATCCCGTCCCCTCTTCAATATAGTTAAAAAAAGTTCATAAACCACAGAGATCCCCACCCTTAAACAACATATATTCTTATTCATCTTGACAAGAAGCATCGACTGCAACATATTACCTTCCCTTAGAGAACTCAAATGAACTTACTTAAGTTAAACGCTCTTACCTCAGAGGTCAACCCCGGTACTTCAAATCAATAATCTTTAATTGAATATAAAAACACGCTGAGTTTTCAAAATATATTTTCCTTTATCAACATGAAATGATATATTTTCCTCAACACACTCCCTTTGCCGGATGGTCATTCCGAACAAAATTTCAGCAAAAGGTTTCACTCTTCTCATCAGCAATTAAAATTACACCCTATAGAACGTTTTTTCCGTATTCCTTATGCCAAGATAGTTTGGAAGACTTACAATAGTCATATTTTAATCATATTATGTTAATTCTTTCTAAGTAGGTTGTCTTGTCAATGTAAATAAGAGACAACTGTACAATGCTCAAAGCTCATAAATCCATACGGAATACTAGTTTACCACCCAAAAATAAAAACTTAGGGAATCACACGAACTCCAAACAGATCGAGATTTTGTTCGTCGACAGCGTAAGCGATTCCTGCTATGCATACATTACCCACCATGGCACAGTCTAAATATAATGGAATGTCATGAATTCTAGTCTTATCGATAAAAAAGTGTGCTCCTCTAACATTTTAGTGTAATAGAAAAGTTATAAAACCACAAAGATAATGCAACTTCGCTAAAACGAAAAATATAACATCTAACTAATTAGTTAGCAGAAGATATATAATTAATGTCATGATAATGACTGTAACTAATAAAACCCAAAATAGAATCATGTCAACTCTTGCAATTATATCTGGCCAAGTCAATTCTGTAGAGTCGGTGTGGGTTCGTTCCGTCTTAATGACTTCACCATTCATGGTAGCACTATCATTTTGAGTATTGACGTCAGAACATCCAACATTCTTTTTACTTCGCATGTATTTAATGAACGATAGAGTAAAGACAACTTGTAGCCATTTAGGGACAGGCTTTGCTCGGAAGTGTAATCGGAGTTCCACAGCAGTGACAATAACAACGATAGTTCCCATTCCAAGTTGAAACATTAAGTAAAATTCCAAAATAGACCCCGCGGTTTTTGGTAGCGTTGAACTGACAATTGACAAAAATACGGCAAACGACAGAAACACAGTAATAGAGTAACTCATCTTCTCACCACAGTCTACTGGTAGTGCAAATGTAAATATGTTTAATACAGCCAATAATACAATAGGTGCGATAACATTTATCAAATAAAATGTAGGAATTCTGCGTACAGTAAGGGAAAACTTGACTCTTGTTTCTGCAGATGAATCTACGGTGGCTGAAGTCGACACAACTTTCCATTCCCCATTACCTTTGAAATTGTAAAAATTTATTCCTTTCGATCCTTTTGAAATTTTTACCTCGGAAATACTGTATGACCATACAACAAAAATAATGTCACAAGTTTGTTCATCGAATGGAAATTTTTCAATGTTAATATCACACTTTGTTTCGAATATTTCAAAGGGTGACCATCTCAACATACCATCTTTTTCAATGATCACTTTGATAAAACCGTTTCCTAGTTCCTCTAACTTTTTGAATCCGTTTTGTAGTGATATATCTGGTTTCCAAATTTTATCTTGTGATACATAGATGGTTGACAAATCTCCATACGTAGCAGGTGCCCATTGTAAATATTCGTCTTTCCAGTATATGTCGACAAATCCAGTTGTTATCAGCTTTTGTCCAACCTCATCAATACCATTGACAGCTACAAGGAAAAGGTCTAAATCCACTCGTAAGGGTTCTGACTGGTTAAGACTTGGGCGTACTTCTTTGTTATAACCGTCTGTAGTAAACAATTTTGTCATCAAAGCTTTCATATTGTCACCAGTTTGTGCTTGGGAACAAGCGTTAAAAAACCAAATTAAAATTACGGATAGTATTAATCTTGCCATTTTCAACTATAAATGTACAAACATGAAGAAAAAGACTTATCGATCTTAATGTATTCAATAATGTTTGTGTTTTGTAAAAACATTAGATGGGCTGTACCAGGCAGGTAATTAACCGAAGGACTTCAAACAATAAACACGTAAGCAATTCGTACACATTCAAAAACATATTTTTTCACATTTTTTAATTATAAATGAATAATGCATAGAAATCATTCACGCTATGCAAATCCTTCTTGTAGAACAAATAATTTTAAATATGATGAAAAGATAATAGTTAGAAAACAAATACATTTTATAAAACGTACAAAAGTATGGTGTTATAATTCTAATTACAGTTAATTTATATTCTGAAATACAATGTTAGGTCACTGATTGCTTTAACTAATGTAAAAAAAGTGAAAATATAAGTTTATGAATTTATTATTGTAGGAATTTCCCAATTCGCATTGCGAAAAACCAATCCACTTTTTCATGTGTAGTAAGCATTTAAAACTCTCATCTGTTGTTAGTCTACTAACAGTTCAGTAATACTAAAGTAGTATATTATACTTATAATTAGCAACATTGATATCTAATGTGTCACAAGATAATGATTTGTTAAGACTTATGACCATGCCATGAACTAAGTACATCCTCTGTTAACTTTGAAGTATGTTGATTCATATGGACAATGTCCCACTTTTTCATCCATGGTCCTTGAATGGTTGTGTCAAATTCAGGATCATCGGGTAACTGAAAATTAAAAAAAAAACAATATGCATGGTTATTCGATAATAATGGTCCCCAATTAAGGTAAACCCAGAAAAATGCTTCGGGCGCAACAAACTTGTGTTATTTCAATTTTGTTTACATATATATCATCATTGACTGATAACTTCCTTTGATCACTAACTAATACCATTGTAAATAAACGTATTCCGCCGTTCGAAGCACCTGATAAAGTTTATATTTTTTAATAGAATGCATTAAGCACGATAGTCACTTCAGTACAGCTACAGTTCTTGGAAGGTACATTAATAGAAATTGAACTATTCATTAAACCGTGCTAACCAGTATTGAGATTCTACATACCGGCAAGACATCTTTTACTGCTTCTCTTTGCTTCTCACGTCTATCAACGTTATCAAATGGAGTCCAATCAATCTTATAGTTAGGATCCTTTCCTGTTCTCATAAGCAATGGTTCCTTCATTCCATAAAATCCTGCTGGTTCGTCTGGCCGTTGCCATCTCAAATCCAAGCTCCAACGGATTTGTTTTGTCATGTTAGGAAGACTTGAAAAGAAATAGTTATAGCTATATCTAGTTTTGTCTTTATAAAAACTTAACAAAGATACCAGGCTTGTAATTTGGTATGCAAAACGCGCGTTTCATCTACATAAGACTCACCAGTGGCGATCAAATCAAAACAGTATAATATAGGAATAAAAAGTATAATGCTAGTCTGATCATTTTCCTATGTAAGTAAAATAACTAATGGAGATCTATCTTTAAAAAAGTTAATGGTAACCATATACCATATAAACATACCTTCTGTGTGGTATTAAGTTGTTCAACAATAACATGCCACCATATGGTACTGGACACGTTATTATGTCTTTATCCACGTCCACATCTGTAAATAAGAACACCATGCTGTAAGTTCATCACACTGTAAATGTGACTTATTTTGGTTGCGCGTTGCATATTCTATATGGCAATATCTTAGATTTGCGAATAGATGTTTCACTTGTGTTTATATATCAATAAATGTGGTTACATGGTGTGCATAGATATAAGAAGATGTGGTATGAGTGCCAATGAGACAACTCTCCATCCAAGTCACAATTTGTAAAAGTAAACCATTATAGGTCAAAGTACGGCCTTCAACACGGAGCCTTGGCTCACCCCGAACAGCAAGCTATAAAGGGTCCCAAAAAATGACTAGTGTAAAACCATTCAAACAGGAAAACTAACGGTCTTATCTATATAAAAACGAGAAACGAGAAACACATATGAACTACATCAACAAACGACAACCACTGAACATCAGGTTCCTTACTTATGACAGGTGCAAACAAATGCAGCGGGTTTAAACGTTTTAATAGGCGCAAACCTTCACCCTAACCTGAAACAATAGTGTAACATCACAACATAGAAAGACACACTATAAAATATCAATTGGAATGGCTTAACTCAATCTAAAGACATATTAACAAAAACAAGTGAACATACACTGAACGAATAAATTTGATCTATGACACAATGTAAATACAAAATTAATCTTCGTTTATTTTTATATAAATAAGGAGGTGAAGTATGATTGCCATTGAGACAAATATCCAACAGAGTCCTAATGAAGTGGATTTAAGCAACTATAGGTCACCGTATGGCCTTTAACAATGAGCAAACCCAATACCGTATAGTCAGCTATAAAAAGCATGATAAAATGTGAAACAATTCAAACAAAACAAACCGGCCTGATTTATAACAAAACAATAAACGAAAAACAAATATGACAGAAAGCCACGAACGACAACTACTGAATTACATTGTCCTGCTTCGGGACAGGCACATATAAAATAGGGCTAGGTTAAACATGTTTGTGAGTGTTCAATCCTCCCCTAAACTTGGACAGTGGTTTAACAGCACACTAAAATAACTGTAAAATCAGTTGTAAATAGCTAGACTTTTGACAGTGGCACCAAGCACAAAAAAATTACATAAAGACAAAAGTCATAAAGTACCAATCCAAGAGTACTCGCAGTTACTGAAAGCTAGTGCAAAGCCGATAACCGATAATAAATGAAGCGTGTTCTCTACTAATACATTTTTATTTTTTTTGTACTTGTATCTATTTTCATATATAAACCTGTCTCAATTCAAAAGTATCTTTAGAAAGAAAGTTTTTCTTTTATTTCGGATTATTTACCTACCCAATGTCTTAATCATTTCCTTCTCTTCTAACATGACATACCAGGTGCCACCATAGCAACATTGGTGTGGCGCTACAAGACCTTTCTTGTGCCCTTTGTTGGCCACCTATAAATATCATACTTAACGTCAATATTATCCAAAAGTGACTCACAAAACATGTCTAGTCTTAAAACAACTTTAAAAACTATTTTAAACGTTGATGACCTTGGCAGCTTTAGTCAAGGTCAAAAGCCCTTACTCAGATACAGATGTAATATCTACAATGAATTCACAAACTCAATATTGTTGAATTATCATGCAGAGTTCTGAGCAAAAATGAATCTAGAACTTTAACTTCACTGGTAGATATTGAATATATGTCATATAAAAATAAGGAGATGTAGTATGAATGCTAATGAGAGAGACAACTATCCAACAGAGTCAAATGACAAGAATGAAAGCAACGATAGGTCACATGTATGTCCAACAAACATAAATTATACTCTTTTTAAGTAACACATCATATCAAATATTGTTGTCCTGACCGCATATCAAATATTGACTCCCACACGTGCATATATAATTAATAAAACGTCCCAAATCAGACCTCAGATTACTGTGTATTCATATATTTAAACTGTGTATTTAAACGAGTTCAAAATTTGAAATCCGTTATGAAAAAATTGAACAAACCTGCATGCAACCATTTTTCTCGTTTGTATCAAGCAAAGGAATCCAAGCTGTTGGCTGGAGTGTTTTATAACAGTCGACATTTAAATAACCACAGTCTGAAAGACAATCGAGTCGGTCTGTAGCTTTGATGGAATGAATTGTAAATTAATTACAGAAATTTAGATATGTCATATTCTGTGTGATCCAACTGCAAGACGACCGTTGTTTGTTAAGAGCATCCTTTAAGCCCAAAATATAGATCATAATAACACTGATATTTTTTTGTTTCCAGATATCAGAAAAGTAAACTATCATTGACTCACCACTTAATGACTTGAAACCTTAGTTGCTGAAGGAGGTATAACACTTTTAAACGTATATATAGATATTTATATGTATGTGTAGTCCATTCATGTTCAAACTGCTTTTTCTTTTCTTTGTATGTATACTTGATTAATTTGATTTTTTTTTTGTCTAAATAATGTCTTAATACTGTATTATGCTCTTTATGAGCCCATTTAATGGAAATAAAACATCTTCTTCTTCTTCTTTTAGTATAAAATGTATTCATTGTGATTTTAATGTTGCAGACTTATCAATGTAAATTTTAATGATATCTGAGAAACAAATGACAAAAATTATTCAAACTTACTTGTCAATAGTGTGAAGTAGGTCAGGATCCTGTGTTTATTATTTTAAATTATAATGCGACAGGGAAATACGATGTTAGGACATTGCCTAGAACTCTTCATGGATTCTTGCGGTAAAATTTAAACATATATGTCTCATGCAAAGTAGATCGCGGTAATCAAAATTTTCTTGAGATACAAAGACTGCAACTGTCGTCATGCTTGTAGGTTTCTGATAAAAAAAACTCACATAGAAATCAACCAATCTGAGGGGACATGAATGGTGCAGATGTAAAAACGGACAAACAAAATGATTCTTAAAGGCGAATATACATTCGCGACGTGGAATAAAATGCTGATAGTGTCAATGACTGTGTTTTCTTTAATTCTTTATTAGGTCAGCTGTGTGTGCCTACTGTGAAGAATAAACCCATTAAGTTAGTTTTACAAAAAAAAGCAATTTAGAATATTACAAATCAACGGGTAATTAAAGAAATGGTCATAAGTGCAAAACATGTGCCTTCGGAGGTCAACGTCAAACGTAAACGGGCTGCAGCTGATTGACGCCCCGCACAGACGGGATAACAGCGAAGGAAAAACAGGGGATCTTTTGACCAAAACTTTGGAAAATGTTTATATTAAATCCCTAGACACAACAATTTTCTAGATCAGGGTGGGGGCAAAAATTATCTATGCGAAAAAAATGTTACTATGAACTATAAAAATTTGACCAACACAGACGTAAAAACATAAACAATGCATATTTCAGGGGTCATTACTTCGTGGTTTATACTTAAGGTGATATGCAAAAGTGGAGTGATTTTGTATTACTAGTTATATCGCTATTTCTATGTCTATGTTAAAATTGTAGTATTTTGGCAAGATTAAAAAAAAACATCTTAACCTTTATACAAGTCGAAGTTCATCAAATATTTGAAATCAGATGGATGTATATGTGTTTACCTTTAAAAATTACACATACTGCTGATTTCCGTCTGTGTGTTTTTTTTTCTGAGCTGCAGGAATGGGAAAAAGTATGACACAATGGTAAAACAAAGTGTTTTTCCGAACTTTTGTTAACTTTCAAATACTAAACATAACCTATAGTAGATGACTTTATGTCTGTCAGAATAAAACACAACTTAAATGTAGCACTGTTTACCTTGGTGCCAAGGTACTGTTGTAGCTTCATTTTGAGGAGTCTTTGTTCGTAAATTCCACACAGGATGTCCTGCAATTTCAGGTCCAATTAACTGTTCCACCACATTTAACATTCGTTCATTACTCCACAAGTCTTTAAATGCCTACATAGAGTATTAAGTTTTCAATCTAATTAAAATATAGATCTCTGATTTCGTTATGCTCATACGAGTACGCGAGTTCCGTTAGATCTGAATTTTAATCAGATTGATAAAGTTTTCTATAGGTTGTTCATAGGGAAACATTGTTCAGTTCTTTATTGGTTCGATTTATGGTAACACCAATTTACAATTACAACTTTTTCTTACTTGTAATGCAAATTAATCAATACTGCACTCCTAAAGTTGTATTTGCATCATTTGTTACATGTACATGTATAAGGTTTAACAGTTATTTTGATAAGAAATGTGTATGTTATTTTCCTGTATGTTGTTACTGAACTTGGAGTCAGAAACCTTTAGTAAGATGTTGCTCTTGTTACTCATTCGGGACTTGCTTAACAAAGTCTAAACAAACTCTATATATATATCAAATTTAGTTATTATATAATAAAAATTATCATATATGGTGCAGATGGTAGATAGTTGATTGCCAATAACTTCCCTTTGGTAACGACTTGATGAGAAATAGTTGATCGTATCTGATGATTATGAAACCTCTACGTTTTGTATCACTATGTTCCATGTACACAACGTTCGCATTTTTTGTCGATTTTTTTAACGAATTCAGTTAGTATTTGAAACCTTGATAGGTTTTTGAGCTCGAGTACATTCCCAGCTGATTTTGATAATTGAGAAGAAATGTATTCCATTCTTCGTAGCTTTAAATAAAAACACACAAAACTGAAACTCACTTGGGCTAACTGGTCTCCTTTGTGAAGAAGAATATTGGCCCCTGGAAAATCTTTTTCTATGGCAGTCAGTCGTTCAAAAAATCCCAGTTCTCGATATAAACCTGTAACACATAAGTATAACCATTGCTATTCATATCTTCTTGTCCGGCACTCACACACACACACACACACATGGATATGCTTACACATACTCTAATGACAATTTAAAATGAAATTTTATAAAAAAAATAACATAAATGGAGCTTAATTGCTTGTACTTAGGTTATGCTGATGAAATATCTGTTATTTTGGTTCGCACACTGTGTTAACGGGATTTTCATACTTATTTTAAATAACATTAACATGCAAATTTTCTGCACCAGATGCGCATTTCGGCAATAAATGTCTCTTCAGTGATGCTCGAGGCCAAAATATATGAACGTCCATAGCTTATCAAAAAGATGAAGAGCTATAAACCAAAAAGGACAAATAAGTATAGCCAAAGCCGGGCAAGTAATCGGAGCTTTGCATGGGGGAGATATATTCCTTTATTCAAAACAATTTCCAAAATTTTGTAACAGCAAATTTTAATAACCCAAAATCCGTATTTGCATGTCAGTACCGAAGTATTGGCTACTGGGCTGGTGATACCCTCGGGGCAGTCCACCAGCAGAGGCTTCGACCCAGTGGTAGACTAAGTAATAACATTAACGGTACCAGTTTTTCTGCACTTGATGCGCATTTCGACAATAAATGTCTATTCGGTGATGCTCGAGGCCAAAATATTTGAAAATCCAAAGCATATTTAAAAGATGAAGAGCTATAAACCAAAAAGGACAAAAAAGGATAGCCAAAGCCGGGCAAGGAATCAGAGCTTTGCAAGAGGAAGATATGTTCCTTAATTTAAAATAATTTTCAAAATTTTGTAAAAACCAATTTCAATCACACAAAATCCGTAATTTCATGAAAGGCATCTATGATTATGGAAGGACTACTTAACAATATCCAGTACATACTTTTAATGCGCTTGGTGTTGTACAGTTTTTGTGCCAACTCTTCAACTAGTTCATTAACAGCATCTCTGCATGGATCTATTTCATCCCTATTGAAAAATTTCTCCACGATGACGTACCCCTAGAAAATTCATTAAATAAATAAAATGATCTATGACAACGATAACGTTAATATGAAAAAAAAATCCTATCATTTCGAGACTGTTGTCTAATTTTTTTCCCTCTTTCAAATTTTTAATCGGATATGAAAATAAAATAACTATATTTAATAAATATGATTAATATTAAAGCAAGCATGAAACAACAATGTGTACTACTATGTTGACAAATATCGTGTTATAGTCACCTCATCTTTAATATTACAGTTTTTGTACAGTGCTTTTTTCAAAAAATTGGGATGATGAAATGTTTGCCGTATCAGATGTTTTGACAACTAAACTGAGTTCCTTTGTAATGTTTATAAAATGTTATTTTCATGCATTGTGTACTTACATCTTCAAAGAATTGTTTAATTTCATCATCGGAGAGCTGTCCCAGTTTCTGAGTTGTAATTTTTGGTCTTGCATTCGAATTGAAATAATCCGGAAAAGTTTCCCCGGTATATCCGTGAGGGACTGTTGGTGGCATGGTCTATATGAACGTATTACTCAAAGTCGTTGTTAAAGGACCTACTTAATAATACATGTAATACTTCTATCAGTGGCCAAGGACAAATATTTATCTGTTATCTTAATCAAGTTGATAAAGTTACTTAAAGTTGTTAAAATTGAGATAAAATGTTTATACAATTCAGGGTAGAAACAGAGGTGTATTCTCCCTTGCAGCTGGCATAAGTAACTAAAAAAATATGTATTACATATAAAAAATACTAAAAGAATGTTAATTGTGAAATTATCTTAACTATCATACTTTTTTATTCACGTAAGCAGTGGAATAGTGAAATACATTTCGGATTTTTATAAAAAGCTGAAAAAAATACTCTTAAATTTTAAAACTGTGAATAACGGGATGCTAACCGTGAATGCAATATTTTGTTGACGTCACAGCCTTTTAAAATAATAGACTGATAAACATAGTCAGTTTCAGACTTCAAAGGCCGGTTTGCAAACTTCAAATGTAGAAAGAGAAGCTCTATAAGTATTGGGGCGATGTGAATGACTATGCTTACGAGTCGACAAAATTTCAATTGCCGTGAAAAGAAGGCCGGTTCATCCGAAATGTTCAACACACAACATGACCACCGCAAGTTCGATGGTCACTATACATGGTTGATAAGCTAAGCCGTCATTAAACATTAGTTTACCGTCTTCGCATATATTCTAAAAATTGTTAATCCTAGCATTCAATGACATAAGTTATTGAATTTAGAAGGTTTTAAAGCGTATGCGAATAGAAAAAAAAAATCAACAATTAAGAAATCATTTTACTTTGATAAAGTTAACGTGTGACACGCTAAACTGTGTTATTATTTTAATTACACGTAGTAGTAGATAACAGTTTTGGTCCTATCTGTCAGTTTGGTGTAGCAGTACGTGTGTATCGGAAAAAGTAATGGTTTATGAAATATGTAATCGCTTCATGTTAACTCACGGGAAAACAAAATAAACTAAACTTAGTAAGTGGTTTCATGGGTACTTGATGACAGGACATTTTTTCTTTTGCGCTCCTCCTTTTCCACATTCCGTTATTTTTTATTTCTTTTTTCAATTTCACAGAAAATCACGAAAATTATTCAAATTTAAAGAAAACAAAAAATAAGGGATTTTGACTTTTAAAAATTGTCCTTTCCCAAAGTCGTTATGAAATATATAGCTATAGACACCCAACTCAGTTGATTTCCAGGTGTAACTCACAGGCACTTGTCTCAGAATTTGTTTTCCCTATATACCTTAATATTAAGGTATGGGGAAAAAAATTCTGAGACTGACAAGTACATGCCTGCATGTGGTGTAACTGTTGTATCTTAGATACCTGGAACCACTAGATCATGTAGATTGCAGTGACTAATGGATGTCACAAATACTAGTAATTTGCTTTTTTGTTTCAGAAAAAAATCAAATCACAAATCGGACTTACATGTGGTATTTGAAATAACTGATTGTAGTATTTCCGAGTGACACCTGAGACTACTATAACACATATATATAGTAGTCTCAGGTGATACGGAACTGACTTTCGTCTTTTCCAACAAAGGATCTTGAATTAGATTTTAAAATGGATTATCTCCCTTTTGCAAACGAATAAAATGAACAGCTGAGCATTTACTGTTTTGAAAAGATGACAGCATGGATATTTAGAAGCTGCAACTCAGTTCTCCAAAAGCACTTCACATTCTGTGCACAAAAATATATTTTTCGGTCGTTCAAGGTAGAAAAATGTACACTGTACATCTCTGAAAAATTACTCTTACCATTTTATATCCCCGAGGAACCAGTAATGACGCACCTAAGGTTGTTTTGTCTCTGCATTTAATCTACCATTTAAAAGAATTAGAAAAACGGAATGGAATAAAAGATTGGTAACTTGTTATTATATTTCAATCATTAAACAGTTGATATTTGAAACAGTAATAGCAATAAAATTCATGTTTGCTAACATTACAAACGGACTGCCAACTAATGATGGGTACCAGTAATGACGCACTGTAAACAAACCAGTAAAAACCACTTGCACGTAACTGATAATCGAAAAATTGCTTCAATCCGGATTCTTTAAAATTAAAACTGTTCAACAGATTCAATTTTATTAACAACTTTTGATATTTTCATTCACTTTAATGATCATAATGATTGTAACACCAAATTTTTAATCAATTTAAATGTAACCTATATTTTGGTATATAATTGTTCAAAATTTAAGAAAGTGATATACATATTCCATATATTTGAAAATAAAAAGTAATTGCATTCATTAAACAACATTGACAATAATACATTTATCAATGTATACTTCATACATTGAATGAAAAAAAATCAATAAACCATAGAAAATTATATAAGCGACGATCATTTGTTCTACAGTGATTCCCGCTTAAATGTAAAACCATGTCACATGACAGTCACGTGATTTGAAAAACACAAAATGGGGAAGCATACGGTTACCTACTTTTCTTGACCAAAGTGGAGATAGGACTGATAATCTTTCGGGGAAGGGTAGAATTTTTTTGACCTTAATAAAATGGCGGAAATTGCATTGTCTTTAATATTTTAAGCAATAATAACATTTCTGGGCAGAGTTTTAGGCATCTTTGTTGTAGTCAGATGACCTTCAACATCATGTTATGTACAGCAAATGTTGATGACGTCACGGCTTTTGTTTAGAAATGTAAAACCGTTAACTAAATCGGTGCGTCATTTCTGGTCCGCGTCAAAACAGGTACCAAGACGATATTTAAACCTTGTCACAACTGTGTATATTCCGTACTCAAAAGATATTAATAAATCAATTAGTGCTGAGAAAGCATGACAACCAGGAATTTGTCCGTCACTGGTAATGAATAAAACTAAAATATAATTATTCCTCTTTTGTCGCAAAGCCATAACTGTAAAGCACAGGCACTTGTCTACCTACATACTTGAATGTAACACAAGGTACCTAACTCGTATATTTGAGAAAGAGGTTGACACAAATGATTCCCACAATAGAAATAGGCGTGGGATAGACAACGGCAGAATCTAAATATAATGGAAGTTTCGCGACCGGATGACATTTCTCAAATATACAAGTTAGGTACATGTACATGTACCTTGTGTTATATTATAATAATAATGATAATAAATTCTTTATTTAAAGAGGGTTACTCAATAAGAAGTAGTCTAATTTTCATTGAGGCCCTCAAACAAAATACATGTATACAGTTAACATTCATACATTCATACATTAAAATACAATATATATTACTAGTATATACACAATTCAATCATTCAAACATACAAATGGCAATAAATGGCAATAATTGGTAAAGTTTTGATTAAATTTTCTTATTCTTACAACAAAAGAAAGAAAACAAATTATGCGACTTGCATAGAATTTTCAAGAAAATGATTATAACAATGTTTCTTAAATAATTCCACATTTCGACAATTCTTTATTTTGAGTGGTAAATTATTCCATACCTTTGTTGCAGAATAATGAAAAGATTTTTTATAAAAATTTGTATTTGGTCTTGGAACAAATAGATCATTATTAGAGACAGATCGTAAGTTGTGGTGTTGCACATCATTAATATTTAGCATTGCTAAGTAATCAGGTGTTAGTCCATACATTAGAATTGATTGTTGGTATTTTATTCTTTGTGTAAAAGATAGCCATTTTAAAGATGAAAACATAAAATTAGATGGTCCAGGAACAGAAATATCGCATTCAAGTATAATTCTTGCTACTCTTTTTTGAAGTTTCATGATTCTATCTGAATGTGTTTGTAATAAATTTCCCCAAACTGAACTACAATAGTCTATAAATGGTAGAATATATGCATTATAAAATAGTTGTCTTGTGTGTATAGGCAAACATACTCTAATTTTAAACAAAAGTGATATTTTAGATGAGATAATCTTGCATATACGATCAACATGATCTTCCCAGTTTAAATTTTCATCAATGTCAATTCCAAGTAATTTGAAAGAATGGACATTTTCAATACATGTTTCATTGATGGTAATACATAATTCTGATAGTTGTGTAAGTTTTTGTTTTGAACCCAAAAAAGTATATAGGTAATTTTTTTCAGAGACAAAGTGTCTGTGCTGTAAATGCTAAGTCATAGGCCCTTTAATGAAAATTTAACAACTCTTCTGAATTCCGTCTTGTTATTTAGATTGATCCATCAGAAGGTGGTAGGTTTTCAGAAGGATCAATTCAGTTGCTGGAAGTGTTACCATCCAAAATTTGCTACCAGAATCTTTTGATAACTTTAATAAAAAAGACATAGATTTTTGCACTGAATATTTATATCCCATAAGGGCTATGATAACCCATTTAGGTAACTGGTTGTTACCTGTAAATTGCTGTTTTTTCTCAACTCCGAATTTGATAAGGAATAGGCACTGGCTATGATTACGTTAAAATGTAACAATAATAAAAGAAGTTATTGTTACATTTGACACTAATTGCCGGAATGCTATGTTGGTAAGAAAACGATTAATTACGAACTTAACAATAAAATTAGTGTCTACAGTTACATTGTGTTATTGTTACGTTAATGCACTTCAGAGTTTGTTGGGACTAGTAATATGTATTAAAATACAACTTGAAAACTTTTATTTGCAAACACTGCAATGCTACAATATTGCATACATATTTTTAATTTTATTTACAATGACAGCTTCTACACATCCAGTATGTGCTTTTGGGAGCATGTTTTAGTCCGAAGGATTTTTGGTGAAACTAGTCTAGGCAGCCATCACAAACGAGTGATGCAGCAATGTGCATGTCGGTTTTGCAGACTAAACAGTTTCACTGTGCAATATCCCTTTTTGAAGTTATAGCAACTTTCAATGTCTGCCATGCTTCAGGTGAAAAATATTTTTTTATTCTTGAAATGTTTATATTTTCATTCAAAATATTTGTTGGAAACATGAGATGTTGTTTTATGTTGTCTTTTAGTATCATTTTAAACTATAGTAGGTTAAAAGTTTAATAAATCTAATGTAACAATAACGCAACGTAACCGTAGACACAAATGTTATTGTTACGTTCGTAATTAATAGGTTCCTTACCCAACAAATCATTCCGGCAATTAGTGTCCAATGTAACAATAACTTTTTTTATTATTGTTACATTTCAACGTAATCGTAGCCAGTGCCTAAGGAATATTGGGTTACTTGGGGAAGGCAAAATGAATTATACATGATAAGATAGATATTTGAAACAATAACTTCAGATGTTAGTACAAAAGAGAGGCGAAAGATACCAAAGGGACATTATGCAAGTATTATCTCTAATTTAACCATCACACTTGTCAAATGAATGTATAATTCAGGTACAAGACTACATTGTATAATACCCTTACAATTGCATTTCATGTTCATTTTAACTTTTTATGTGGATTTTTATTTCAAAATGTGGTTCTTAGCAAAAGTTAGATACAATGTTTAAAAACAAAATCTAAATATAAATCTAAAAGTTAAAAATTGAAAATTAAGATGGACTTTGCAGGTCTTTACTGTATACTTTTTACGGCAAAGTTGAAGCAACTCTTACATGTAAGCTAGAAAAATGCAATGGTATGTATATTTCTTAACTACATGTACATGCATGAACTATACATTTTTAAGTTTACAATGGCACAGATAGATTATTATCTTCGTTTGTTGGCTACTAGTGTCATGACTGTAAGTGAAAGTTCTGTGTCATCTTAAATTAGAGTTCTGGAAAATATTTAGTTCCATACATGTATAAGAATAATATTATCACATTTTATGAAATATGTGAAAGTTTTTGATGTTTGTCAAAAATACATTTCTAAAAAAATCTAAACAAATCTAAACAAAGGTTCATACAATATTTACATGTAGATCATTCAACTGTCATATTCCTGGCTTGACAAATGCATTGTTAAGAGGTCAAGTAAGGCTATTGTGTAGCTTTCCCCACTTGTATGACCTTATAAATATTTAACATGTAAAATAGGAGATGTGATGTATACATTTGTACATCATTGAGACATTAAGCCATCATGACTGACCAAATGACATCCAGAGATCAACATACAGACTTCAACAATAGAGAGATGTCTATACAATGTTACATGCAGTTTAAAAATGTTGTGACTAACATGACTAGATAAATCTGAAATTATTTTCCAAATAACACAAAACCTTTAAGATATATGACATAAGAAAATCACTGAAAGTCGTCCAGTCTTAGGACACAAGTACTTAAACATGAAGCAGGGTCCAACTAGTATATCAGATCTCTTTTTTTTTTCTTTCCTTTCCTTTTTTTTGGGGGGGGTGGGGAGGTATATCATGACCATTATGCAGTCACAGACTATTGCAAAATATGTACAAGTACAGTCAAACTAGTATAAAAAGGTCAACCTTGGTACAAGAGAAAATTGACCTTATAAGAAAGGTAACCTTTGAATAGAGGTGGCATTATTAGAGTTGGACAAAAAAAGGGTGAATTGACAAGACATGTATTTGCTTACTAAAGGTGATCTTTATGGCAGATTTAACTGTAGTAAACTGTAATTTTAAAAATTTAGTTCTATACCAAATGATTATTTTTTTTCCAGATTGGAGAAAAGTTACCAATAGTTTCTGTGTATGAAGATACCCCAGACAAAAAAGTGAATCTCCAAGAATTGTTTAAAAATAAAAGAGGTGTATTGTTTTCGGTAGTTGGAGCATTTACACCTGGATGTACAAAGGTAATAACACATAACGTAGCAGTAGCAATTACACTTGGGTTTGTACATCGTATGAATCAAAGGAGATTTACAGGTAGGCTAATTGGCTTCATTGGAAACATGAAGAAGATTGAGATACATGTTGTATTTATTCAATATCAATAATATATACTTTTTCAATCTGTTCAATGTAAACAGTGATTCAGACATTAAAAGTTGATTTCTGACAAAATTTTAAACATTGTTCCTATTGAATTTTTCTTTTTCTTTTTGTATTTAACAATTAAAAACTGGAAAATGACATTGTTAAAATTAAGGCCTTCTAAAGTGTATTCTATAACTAAACCAAAAAAATGCAAATTTCAATAGGAACAATGCTAAAAGTTTTGTCAGAAATCAACTTTTTATGACAGACATGAAAGGAGATTAGAGCTACTGTGGGGTCATGGATTTTGGGCAATGCCAATTTTCATGGTTTGTGGAAAATTTTTATTTTTATTTCATAGGATATTTTATTTCATTGTTTCAGTTACAAATTTTGCATAAATAAGTTGTATTTTTTTACAATTAAATTCTTGGTTTGTCTAGAGCATGATGAACTGCATATTAAAATTGGAAATGATAATTGTTATTTTTATACTTCTGTGATATAGAAAATTAAATATTATAGTATAGTAGCACATATACATGTATCTAGAATATGCATTTAAATATAGCAAAAAGTTCAGAAGTTCTTTACTTTAAGTCTTTATTTCTTGAATCCATGTTCTATGAATTTTCATTAAATATAAATGATATATAACCAATATAGTTTACAAAGTAAAATATCTATAATTGAATTTAAGAAGTTGCAAAAGCATTGTCCTTTATACCTATATAAAAATAAGGAGATGAGGTATGATTGCCAATGAGACAACTATCCACCAAAGTTCAAATAAAGTGGATGTAAGCAATTATAGGCAACCATACAGCCTTCAACAATGAGAAAAACCCATACCGTATAGTCGGCTATAAAAGGCCCTGACATGAATAATGTGAAACAATTCAATTGAGAAAACTAACGGCCTAATTTATAATAAAACAATTAACAAAAAACAAATATGACACATGAACCAACGACAACCACTGAACTACAGGCTCCTGACTTGGGACAGTCACACAAAGAATGTGGCGGGGTTAAACATGTATATTTGTTAATATCCCATTATAGATCAGTGGTAAGTTTTCATAATACCTGTAGTACAGTTTGTCCTTAAAATAATTTCATGTTATTGTGCAGTCATCATATGTTAAGCAGGTGAACATTTTTAAGTGTATTCATTCTTTTTTTTAATAAGCAACCTATGACCAAGTTCTGCTATTTGGATATTTATTGACAGTAATCTTTGTTTTTTAATCTATTTTTGTGTTTACTTTGCAGTCACATCTTCCAGAATATCTTGAAAACTTTGACAGATTTAAGGTATTTATCATTTTTGATATTCATAGAAAATATGCACATGAATAATAGGAGTAATCAAAGTACTGAAGTACTGAACTTCGGATGACCGCAAGTTCTTGTGGATGGTCACAAGCACTTGTCTCAGAAAAAAAAATCACATCTCCAGTGTTCCAGCTAGCATGAAATGGAGGGGCGCCGCGCCCCGCCCCCGAAATTTTGCGCCCCTCTGCCTTTTTTAAGCGCCCCTCTGCCCTTCTGCCCTTCTAATGCACCCCTCTGTGCTCTTTTGAAAAAAGTTTAAAAACGATCTTTTTTCCTCATATCGTCGCCATTTTGTTGAGTTCTTTATACACACACTTCATTAAGACAACAGATTAAAATTGTTGACACTTGTTACCTGTATATAATCACCTATTTGATTAGTCAATTACTTAATCAGGTGAAATTTACGACCCTGTCTAATCCCTTTGCCCTGAAGCACCAAAACAGCAAAGTTAAATGAATTGATTTTTTAACACCTGACGATGCAAAATAGAATTTATAAAATAAATGTGAACGATGTTCATTTCTATTGTATTTGTTATTTATAAAATAACGTTCATTAAAAAAGAATCATTCCAATGTAAATCGTCAACACGCAAAATGCCAACGAAAAAAAGAAAAATTGACCAACTCGAAAATGACAAGAAGAAAATATCAAAGACTTGCCAGTCTATTACATCTTTTTTTCAAGAATAATGACCATCAACGGTAAAAAAATAATTTAATTCTTTACTTTTATGAAAAATCGAGAAGAAGAAATTAAGGTTTCTATCAGATATCGCAATTGTTCTTCTATTGTAAATTCCGCCGATTACGGAGCACTCGAAAGTCCGATTTTTATATCATTTTTCTTGAATTGAAATCCGTTTTGACTAACTTTAATATTGATATTATTAGATACGCTCAACATGAAATATATGGAGATGCTTGTTGAATTGATAATAAACTTTCAAAGTTGAATTAATTTATTATTGTGCCTGATTATGGAGCCCTCGAAAGTCCGATTTTTGTATCAATTTTCTTATTGAAATCCATTTTGACAAACTTATTGATATTATTAGATACGCTCAACATGAAATATACAGTAGATTTTGACACTAAAGTCAGAGCGTGCTTTCTCAATGGATTAATTGGAAATATATAAGTTAGTTAGGGAGGCTGACACAATCGATCAGTTGGCCATTTCAGACCTTACAGGAACAGACAACATTGAAATAATGTATGGTTATACAGAGATAGAAGCTCTGGCAAATACATTTGACATGGACCCTGAAACTCTCCTTATTCAATGGCAGGACTTTATAGCTCTTGTGTCATCAGCAGAACTTACAGATCGTTCCTTACCTAGTCTGCTAGAGCTATTTCATTCACCTTGTCATAAGGATAAAAATCTATTATCTATGTACCCTCTTGTTGCAAAACTATTCAGTGTTGCAATAATACAACCACTCAGTACAGCAGAGGTGGAGAGAAAATTCTCTCAGGTCAAATTGATAAAGACAAGTCACAGGGCAAACTTGAAAACACAGACATTAACAAAAATATTAACTGCAAAATTAAACTGTGATGAAACTAAATTTGAAAAAAATCTTGATCAATGTGTGACAACCTTCTTCAAAGAGAAAAACAGAATATTTGTCAATGTTGTTTAATATTTATTTGCATTTGAACTCTTCTTTTGAAAAAATCTGTAGTTCTGAAAGAGAAATGAATATAGTAATGACTGTTAGTGCTCTCAGTTTGATTTTAACTTATATGTTCTAAATAAATGATTTTTAAACTTGTATATGATAGTATAGAGTATTTAACATAGCTACATGCTTGCTAAAAATATGTCATTATGTGGTAATATTAAAAGTATTTGATTTTTTTCAGTGAGAACGCGCTAAAGTGCCCTTTTTTAAAAACGCGCCCCTTTATTTTCAAATCCTAGCTGGAACACTGATCTCTAATCCTTAAAGTGAGGTTAAGGTACATAGATATATTTTTTCTGAGACAAGTTCGTGCATGGATGATGAATAAATGACACGGAATTCAACCTCACTGTAATAACTATTATATTGTAGTGATACAAATCAGTATACTCTGGTTTGTTGTTATATATTATATTAATATTTGTATATAACAGTTACATGTATATATAATTTTCATCCATTTGTATATCATTCTATTCTACTATTCTAATAATAGTGCAGTGCAAGTGCATGGTGGACACTCTTCTGTAATAATTTCGATTTTTCTAATAGATTGGATTTGAGTAGGTGTTCATATTTTCACGCAAAACGTTTTTGAGATATTCTTCCACATGCGTTAACACAAATTTTCGGTATTCTTGATTTGTTATTGATATATATATTTCTCACGACAAAACATTTTCATATCATTTATCTATGTTCTTAAAAATTATTTTCATGAATATTTATTGATGAAATTGATATATAACAAGCGATAAAGAATGTTATTTTGCGTTCAGTTATCAGTCAAAAACGAAAGTCACGTGGCAACAATATACCAGAATGCCCTCACGGTCATGCGATGTAAAAAGGGTATTTCTCAGACGACTTGTAACTACAAGAATGGCATGTGATCAGCATACAATTTTGATGACAGATCATTATTCTATTGTCTTTTAGATTGATTATGTTAAACATATTTCAAAGTTTACAATCAAATGAAACTTGACAGAATTATTTCATACCTTGTAAGGTGTACATGTCTGTCTGGCAAGGTTCATAATACCTTGATCTCATTTTCATGGTTCATAGGTCAATTTTAAAATTTTGTGGTTTGATCTGTTTCTCAGGTACCATAAGCGATAGGACCACTATATTTGGTGTATGGAAAGATCATTAGGTGTGCATGTCTCATCTGACTGTGACTTCATTTTCATGAATCATTGATAATGTTAATTTTATGTGATACTTGTAGTAAAACCTTCGTATTACAGACTTTCAACATGAATTCAATCATAAGTAAAACAGGCGAGACATTTCAGTGTGTGTACTCTTGTTAAGATAAACTTTATAGAAAATGTATGATTTCTATTTTGTAGGAGGAAGGCTATGATTTGATATGCTGTATTTCTGTTAATGACCCCTTTGTAATGTCAGCTTGGGGAAAACAGGTCAGCGCTGAGGGAAAGGTAAATGAACTTTCTAATTTGTAATTGTCCTTTTTTATTCAGAGAGTTTCAGTAATTTTCAGCTTTATATCATAGTTCCTCATACCCTGGAATTCAGAGTCTTGTACTTTTACCATTGAGAACAGTTATCTGACACTCAAGGCTATAATGAATTGTTTAAGAAGTCAAGCAAGCTGATCAAATGTTAAATCATCTGCCTCATTCACTATTTTCGAAAAACCTAAATACTTAGCATGTATCTTAATTATTTTTACAAAAATTAAACCACTTTTGGCAATGCTTCTAATATTTTAGCCAAAGAGAGGCCTTAGCACTTCTACTTCTTTTGTCTGTAAGTATATGTGTCAACTGAAGTTTATATTTCAACTGTTGTAGTTTGTAAATATTTGAAATATTTGTTTGGAGTTGTTATTTAATGGAATGTTATTTAAGTATTGGTGAACCTCTGACTCACCACGTTCTTTTTTGTTTTGTTTTAGATTACGATGTTGGCAGATCCTAAAGCAGAGTTTACTAAAGCTATGAATATGGATTTGGATTGTACTAAACTACTAGGGAATGTTAGATCTAAAAGGTGGAAATTAAATTCACAAGTAATAATTACAAAACTAAAGGCTCAATTGAGCCTGTATTGCTGATTAACCAATTTTAAGAATGCCAATATTTCACCTAAATAAACCTTTTCAGCTCTATTTTATTGATAGAATTGTAGGCCCAGATGTCTTTTTTCAGCTCACCTGTTCCAAAGGGCCAAGTGAGCATTTCTCATCACTTGGTGTTCATCATCTGTGTCTGTCGTCTTTGTTAACTTTTACAAAAATCTTCTGAAACTACAGAGCCAAATCTAACCAGACTTGGCCATTATCATCATTAGGGTATCGGTTTAAAAAATGTATCTGATGAAGCGGCCTGCAAACCAACATGGCCAACATGGCTTAAAATAGAACATAGATTAGAGGTAATATGCAAGTTTTGTCTTATCTTAAAAACCGCTATAAATAGAAAAATCTGACATGAGAAGAAATGTTCAGATGATGAGATTACCTATTGTCTATTTACATTAAAACTGTAAGACGACTCCTTGTAGGAGTTATTGCTCTGAAATGATGAACTTCACCTTTTTTTTCATGTTTGCCTATTAATTGAAAATTATAATCGATAGAGAGAGACTTAGAATAAAAAAATAATCAACAAGATGAGATCTACAAATAGTTGAAATTGTCTGACAAACCCTATTTGGATTTATTGTCCTTTAATGACAAATTTTACCAATTTTTGGAGTTTTTGCCTTATATCTGAAAAACTATAATAGATAGATAGAACTTGAATAAGCAGAAATGATCAGCAAAACAAGATCTACAAATTATTTAAATGGCCATAATAGTCAGTTCACTACTAATTGGAGTTATTGCTCTTCAATGAGGATTAATACCCATTTTTAGTGTTCTGTCTCTATTTTAATAACTATAACAGATAAAGAGAAACTTTAATGGCAAAAATGATCAGCAAGACAATATCTACAAATAAGTCAACATAGTTGAAACAGTCAGTTGATTTCTTATTGGAGTTATTGCTCTCTAATTATGATTTTTACAAATATTTTGCATGTTTTAATTGCAAGTCTGTTTGATTTTTACTGTTTTTACAATGAGTGCAGTTAAAATTAAGTTTGAGACATTTTAAGTAAATTTCAGATTGATTTAGACTGGTTAAAGTAAAAATTGTAACAGTTTTTATACTTAAAAGTATACTGGTCTATTCAACTCTTCCTGGTTTGTAATGTTCCTATCTACCATGAAGTGCAGTTTTAAGCTCATTTACCACTGTAATCATATGTACTGTTATGGTCCTTGTTCCTGGTTTTGCTGCTTCTTATAAATTTTAACCAAGGATCTTATCATTATATGCAAGTTGCTTTTCACAGGTTTTGCATTTTTTTCAATTGGGGTATATGAAATAAATTGTTTTAAGGATAATTACTTCTGTTAACAGTGATGTAAGATAGATAAGACTTGATAGATGAAAAGGTGTTTTAGTTTTGATGTAGGATCTAATGGTTTTTTAAGTATTTTCTATTTTGTTACTAAATCGGTATGTCCAGCACAAATGTTTAACGATAACTTGAATGCAGGTATACAATTTTATCAGGCTTATAAAGCTTGATTTGCAGTTTTGTTAAAGAATTATGTTCTTGTGCAGTATCACAACTACATGTATGCATAATTTTTGGGGAGAATGGTTTCCAGTTGACAAATTTTTACTATGATATTATGTTATATATTACCAGAGTGAATTTTCATAATGGTTCTTTCTAACACCATTTCTACCATTTTTGGTTTAAATTGTTCATGTAGTTTAAGAGAAAATGTGATATCTAAATAGATCTAATATTCAGTTGTATATTTGATTTGATTTGTTTTTTTGTGTTTTAACACCACTTTTAAGCACCGCTTTTGGGCTATTTCATGGCGGCCAGTTTTTATTGGTGGAGGAAGCAGGAGTGCCCGGAGAAAACCACTGACCTTCGATAGGAAAACTGACAATCCTAGTCAATTAAGATTGGAGTCGAGTGCACCCGCACGAGCGGGGTTCGAACACATAACCTCATTGTTGACTGGCTAGTGATTACAGTAGTAACTACTTAGACCACTCGGCCCCCGAGGCCCCTCAGTTGTATATTTAGTTAAGGTACAATCATGTTGTGGTTAATAATCAGTCTACAATGTTTTTTACAGGTACTGTCTGGTAATTGAAGATGGAATTATCAAAAGTATAATGACAGAACCTAACCATACAGGACTGGCTTGTTTATTGTGCATAAAAAACTTTAGTAAAGGAACCAGGATAAATACAGAACATAGTGCTAGTAGATAACATTAATATATTTCCAAAGAAATGGGAAAACAATGCAGGGATTTACTATGCAGGAATATTAGGTGCTACATAGTATTGAATATAAGACAGTATTTTTTGGGTTAATATGCAATTACATTGCAGATTAACAACATTTTAAGATAAATGGATAATCTCCTACACACTGTCATTACATAATAGTCAATATGTTTATACAAATAGCAAAATTTTACCATCCTTCTTTTTATTGACCCCTAGGTTGCCCCTTTTAAAAATCCTGGATCCCGTTCTGAATAGTTTTTTCCTTAGCTAGTCTTACACTATTATATACCATAGAGTTATTGCACAATGTAGGTGAACATTGCAAGTAGAAAAATTACATTGCACCAAATTTTTAGTGATTTGCCATATACATGTATGTTCTTCACATTGCTGTCTGTACATATAAAAAAGAAATGTTGCATTTTGCTCGGCAGCTACAAAACATGAATTCCGTATATTTTTTACCAAATTTAATATTGCTAAGCTTAATCATGTGCTTATCTACTTTCTGTTGTCTGCTTCCACATTATTTGGAATATGTATTCCTTTTCGTCTGGAAAGCAAAAGTTGGATTATAAATAGTGGGGAGTGTTGTATGGTTAACAATAATGTCAAGATTTTGAAGCAATATTGCTTACAATGTCTTTTTACATTGAATCAATAAATGTTATATTAACAGAATAATTATGATTTGTTATCAGTTTAAATTAATTTTTGATAAAAATTTTGTCAGCAATTTTCTTGAATGTATATCATGTATATAGGGAAAGGTATCATATGAATGAATTTTTTAATTAAATTTTAGGAATAATTTGTGTATTATACAGGTAAAAACTATACAATCTGTTAATGTTTATTCTAATTGATCAAAATTATAATGTGTCACTTTTTGATACTAGAATTCATAGTAGAAGTTTCCTTAGGACATTTGAATATTTATAATCCAATAATTATTTTTACCCTTGTATCAAAGCTTTTTTAGAGAAGAGATTTTTGAATGATTTCAAACATCTCTTGGTTTATCAATATACAATCTGGGAGAATATGGTGTTGTGTTATTGGTTTAAAAAGTCAAGTGAGAGGTTAATTGTGTTTTAAGACAATGGTAAACAAATGACATTTGTATTGATAAAAAAGTGTAATAAAATGATGCAAACAAATTACAAGAAAATCATTAAAGATATTGTTTTATTAATATTACTAATGCTTATCCTGCTTAGGCTGTCCCAACTTTTGGTGTTCAGCATTTCTGATGCTAATCATGAAAAAAACTTCAAACAAGGAATTATTTGAATCTTGAATAATTTTGAATTCTTGAAAATTGATAATAAATGTCAGTTAAAACTTATCCCAACTTGAGAGCAGGCATGGCTAAGGTTCAAATTACTTTCACTGATATTTCAGTATAAACTAACAAAAATGCCTTAGCCATACTAACCCTCCTTAATTGGGTTAGTTTTCATCATACATTTCTTATCAATTTTCCATAATTCAAAATTATTCCAGATTCAATTAATTCCTTGTTATCAGAAGATGTATAAACTGAACATTTTTTAAAGTTTTTTATGGCATCATCCAGTGGTGGATCAAGTGGGAAGTGGGGGGACTTGTGGGTTTTAACCCCCTTTTTTTGACGATCAATGCTTTTGAATGGGGACATATGGTTGGAGCCCCCCCTTTTAAAAATGGCTGGATCCGCCCCTGATCATCTCTCAAAATCTGTAACACAGCATCTTGATTATAATTATCATTTACTTGAAATAAACACTTATTACTTAATTCTTTACCTCAATAGTATTTGAGGGGCCAGAGAGGTCTTAGTTATTTATCTACAGGGATCACTAGCATGTCAACTCTCAGGTTGTGAGATTGAAATCTGCTTGTGGTGTGTGCATATAAGTGATCTTAATGGACAAGGATTGCCAGTTTTCCTGCAGATGGTCATTGTTCTCTCTTAGCACTCCAGCTCCCTTCACCAATGAAAATAGCAACCATGATATAGGTAAGGTTGCTGAAAGAGGTGTTAAATAGCAACCAGCAAACATCAGTAGTATGATAGATTTTTAGCACAACCTTGCCTTAGAGGCCAAGTGAGCTTTGGCCATCAATTGGCGTCGATGTTGACCGTTGTAAACTTTTCCAAAGATCTTCCATGAAACTTTTGAACCAATTTCAATTAAACTTGATGTGAATCATTTTAGGGTATCTAGTATTTAATTTGTAAAAATGCTCAGAATGTAATAATCTACCTTCTTCCTGTTTTCACCAGTTGACTCCTTGAGGAGTTATTGGACTTAAATTTAGATTTTTTGCTAATTTTCATGTTTTTGCCTTTTATCTCTAATAATATATTAGAAAGGTAGAAACTGTTCCAATATGATCAGCTATACAAGATAAACAAAAATGTCAATATGACAGAAACCATTTTGATGACTCAGTAAGGAGTAATAGCCCTTAAATGGCAACTTTTCACTAATTTTAGTGTTTTAACTATTATCGCGAAAAACTATAATATATTGATAGAAACTGTAAACAGCAAAAGTGACCAGAAATTCAAGATCTACAAAAAATGTAGATACAACCGGAACAATTGGATAACTCATTAATTAAGGAGATAAAGACTAAAATAACAATTTTTTACTAATTTACTTGTCTGTCTCAATACTTTTCAAAGATCTTTTCTTTAAACCAATTTCAACAAAACTTGAGGAGAATGATTATTAGTGTATGTAGTATAAAGTTTGTGGGTTTCTTTTTGTTAATAATAATATATCTAATAATAGATAGTAAAAATCTGAAGAGGGCAATTATTCGCAGAATGTCAAGATCTATCTATCTCCTATTTTCAGTAAGGGAGCTACCATTTGATTTTTATGGGGGGCTAGGATGAAAAATTTTGTCCTGCATTTTTTTTAGTTGTAATCTCTGTCCTGCATTTTTTTTTAATAGTTTATCCTGCCTTTTTTTTTTGCCAAGTTGCTCATCCTGCCTTTTTTTTTTTGCCAAGTTGCTCATCCTGCATTTTTTTTTTTTGCCAGGTTGCTCATCCTGCCTTTTTTTTTACTCAAAACTCCTGTCCTGTCTTTTTTTTTTTAAATTCATCCTAGCCCCCCCCCCCCCCATAAAAATCAAATGGTAACTCCCTAAATGATCTTGTTGGATTGTATTAATTTGTTATTGGATACTGTTTCCTTGGAGCCTCTTTTTTAATAAGGCACCATGTCTACTGGATTTTTCAAACATTTTCAAAACACTTCTGAAAAAAAATACTGATCTTTCTCAAGTATGACAATTACTTTATGCCATAGTGCTATAACATGTATTGTTTACCACCATACCTCAAAGGACTACTACAATATGGTAAGAAATTATTATGCACACAGCTTTTACAATCTTTCCACCACTGTTTTGATCACATTGAATTTAGATTGTTTACAAATATATGTTTAGAAATGAATCAGAACTGACAGTTGTTTTTAAAACTTTCAAAATAAAAATAAGATTATGTGGTTTGATTGCCAATAAGACAAATATCCATCAGAGACCAAAAGACATAGATGTAAGCAACAATGGGTCATTATATGGCCTTCAACAATGCGCAAAACTCATAGAGAAAGCTAAAAAATACCCAGACAAGACAAAATTAAGAACGATTTAAAAAACAAATATGACAGACAGCAACTAATGACAACCACTAAATTACAGGCTCCCGACTTGGAACAGGTACATACAGAATGTAGGGGGGTTAAACATGCTAGTGATGTAAGAACACAGCATAAAACAAACTTAAGTTCAATTGAAAAAGGCTAAAAGGGGCATTAGCTGTCAAATCCATGTTCCCAGATTTGACTCAAATTTTTTATTTGATGTATAACATACTAAAAAGTATATCCAAATTACAAAAAGTCTGAATCAAACTATTAACAATGCATTAACGCGATAATATATATCAGCATTTCGTGTGTGTTTTAGTCTAGACACCATCTAATTAACCATCAAGATGACCTATGAAGACTGCCGACAGCCATATAACCCTATATAAACATAATTATAAATATAGATAGATAGTGACCACATGCAATTGGATTTTTCTAGGTCTGTTTGATTTCTTGTTACAGGTTAAAACAATATGTTAATCATTGTTTTTACCTGTATAAGAATGATTTTTTGTGGATCGATAAGTCAATGAAATGGTTCACCCTTGTTTCACTTTCAATGTTGACATTCTTTTCATTTTAATAACTGAACACGCCCATTACATGCGTAACCCATCTCCAGCTAAGGGGTTAAAATGAAGTTCACATGAATACGGATTTTCATGAGGTTGAATTATTCTCTTACAAGTGAATAATACAACAGCGATGTTTTAAGCTTATTTTGACAAATTTGGGCCAAACTAACTGCTTAAAACGAAATATTATTTCTAAATTCCGATTTTATTAATACCAGAGCATATGGTGCAGAAAAACTGGTACCGTTCATGTTATTACTATCACTGGGTTGATACCTCTGCTAGTAAACTGTAAGTCCCCGAGGGTATCACCAGCCTGGTTAGGGAGCTACCATTTGATTTTTATGGGGGGCTAGGATGAAATTTGAAAAAAATAGGCAGGACAGGAATTTTGAGTAAAAAAAAAGGCAGGATGAGATTATTTGCAAAAAAAAAAAGGTAGGATGACAATTTATGTAAAAAAAAAGTCAGGATAAACTAAAAAAAAAAGGCAGGACCGAATAGAGTGAAAAATAAAAAGGCAGGACCGAATAGAGGGAAAAATAAATAGGCAGGACAAAATTTTTCATCCTAGCCCCCCCCCCATAAAAATCAAATGGTAGCTCCCTTACCAGTACTGGCATGCAAAAAATGGATATTGATTGATTGAAATTTGCTGTTATACAATTTTAAAAATTAATTAAACTAAGGAATATATCTATCTCATGTAAAGCTTTGGTTCCTTGTCCAAAATTGGCTATACTTTAAGTCCTTATTTTGGTGTTATCAACTCTTCAAGATTGTATGTGGCTTTGAATTTTCAAACATTTTGGCCTCGAACATCACTGAAAAGAAATTTATTGTCGGAATGGGCATCTGGTGCAGTAAAACTGGTAGCGTTATTTTTGTCTCGCCTGCGACGAAAGTCACAGAAAGCAAGACATAGGGATTGCTTTTCCGGCTCCGGCGTCCACAATTGTTAAGTTTTCTGCTTAAGTTTGTTTGATAGGAACTACTTGTGATAGATCATTGATATTTACATTGAAGTTGCATTACTATCAGTACATATCAGTTTGACGACTATTTTGAGGCCCTGCCCCCTAGGACATGGTCCAGTGACTTTGAATTAATAAGCAATTTTCAATGTTAAGTTTTCTGCTTAAGTTAGTTTGATGGGAACAACTTGTGATAGATCAATGATATTTTGTATGAAGTTGCATTACTATCATTACATATCAGTTTGACGACTATTTTGAGGCCCTGCCCCCTAAGTCGTTTTAAGCAGTTAGTTTGGCCCAAATTTTATTGTTACATTCGTAATTAGTCGGTTCCTTACCCAGCCCTGGATTCCGGCAATTAGTCTCCAATGTAACAATAATTTTTATATTGTTACATTTCCATGTAACCGTAGCCAGTGCCTTATTATTACTACCACTGGGTCGATACCTCTGCTGGTGGACTGTTAGTCGCCGAGGGTATCACCATCCACGTAGTTAGTTCTTACTAACTGGCATGCATATACGGTTATTGATTGATTGAAATTTGCTGTCAGTATACAGTTTAAAAAAATCAATTGAATTAAGAAATATATCTCCTGATTCCTTATCCAAATTTGGCTATATTTTAGGTCCTTTTTGGTTTTATCAGCTCTTCAAAGCTTGTACATGTATTAGGTTTTAGATTTTCAAATGTTTTGGCCTAGAGCATCATTGAAAAGGCATAATATTAGTTGTCGAAGTAAGCATCTTAAGTTCAGTAATATTTGTACCGTTAATGTTATTGTTACCACTGGGTCGATACCTCTGCAGTGCTGATCTCTGCTAGCGAATTGTAAGTCGTCGATGGTATCAACAGCCCTGTAGCCAGTTCTTCGGTACTGGCATGCAAAAACAGATTTTGATTGATACTTGCTGTTATAAAATATTTAAATAAAGGAATATAATATCTACCTCATGCAAAGCAGAGGCGGATTTAGGTGCCCCCCCCCCCCCCCCCTAATTGTGGGACAAATTTGGTTGATATTATGGGAATCACTGAAACATGACTGGAGTGGCCCCCTCTTAGGCAGTCAGTGCCCCCCTGAAGAAAATCAATTGTCTAGATGTGCATCTGGTGCAGTAAAATTGGTACCGCTAATGTAATTACTACCACTGGGTCCATACCTCTGCCGGTGGGCTTATAGTCCCGGCGAGTATCATTAAGCCCATTAGCCAGTACTTTGCTAATGCCATTAAAATTTTCTGATGTGAAATTTTGGAAATTAGTTTGAATTAAGAAATGTATCGCCCTTGTTCAAAGCTACGATTTCTTGTTCGGATTTAGCTTTACTGTGAGTTCTTTTGGGTTTTATGACTTCTTCAACGTTTGTATTAGGTTTTGGATTTTTAACTATTTTGGCCTCGAAGATCACTGAAGAGGCATTAATTGTCGAAATGCGCATATGCATCTGATGCAGTAAAATTGTTACCGCTAACGTTATTACTACCACTGAGTCGATAGCTCTGCTGGTGGCTTTATAGTCCGGGAGAGTACCACTAGGCCTATACCCAGCACTTCGTTAATAGCCTTTTAAATGATTTGAGAATGAATGCATATAATGTAATTTTATTCTTTTATTCACAATATATATGTGGTTTTTGGCTCTGAGTCTGACCAATGCTAATATACTAAATATATATTTTAAAGTGACTATAATTGTTGTTGTTACCAATTATGTAAATCAATTGTATCTGATTGTATGCCCTTTATGGGCCCTGTAATTTGGGAAATAAAAAAATATTCTATTCTAATACGTATATTGTTAGATTGAAATTTGCTTATGTGAAATTATGAAAATAAGTTTAAATTCAGAAATACATTCCTCGCGCAAAGCTACGATTTCTTGTCCGGGTTTTGCTCTCCTTCAGGCCCTTTTTTGAAAGTTCCAAAATCTTTCCCAAGGCAACTGCCTCCTTGACAAGAAGTAGCACAGGTTAGCTTCTAAATCTATAAAATGAATACACACTGAAATATAGTTCCCTATTATTTTCATGTCTGTGTACATATGCACATATGAACTGTGAAAAACGTGGATTATATTTTTATAGCTGTTCATTCAAGTATGTATGTCTGCATACCCACTGTCAATTCAAAGTATCAAAAAACAAAGTAGGAGTCTTAAAAGAACCAAACCACATACACATTTCCACTCATCACTGTTGAGCTTCTGACCTACAAGGCCCCACAACCTTAAATGTCAATCATATTGACCACATTATTAATCAACCTCTGACAGTCTTACATACTAGTAATTAAACATTCCTTTCATTATACATCTCAATACACAAATACTTAACCTAATAATTGAATACACAAATGTATATATTAGATGTTTGATATATAGAAATGATAGATCCATTTATTGCCTATTACTTTGATCTATACCACATAAAGGGATTCTGTAAATTATGTCTGAAAGATAAATGATTAATTAAGGATTAAGAATATTTTTTTCAAACAAGAAGACAAAATATGAAATCTAGATAATTCATAAAAAAGGATTCAAGTAAGGTCTATATTTTATTTGATATATCTGTGCTATAATCATCTATAATTAATCAATAATCTTATCAGTGATTTGCTTGATACAATCAGTAAAATTTTAAACTCTAACCCAAGCAAACCAATATTTTTTCAGTTTATTCCCCATCAAATGTCTATTAAAATTTTAATCATTTGAATACAAGAAGTGTATTTTTGCAATTAAGAATGAATAAAATTGAGAATGGAAATGGGGAATGTGTCAAAGAGACAACAACCCGACCTCATTTCAATAAAATAAGTTTTTTTAATTTGTTAATGTTGAAAAAGTACATTTTCAATGCCCTTTTGTGGAAAATATTAAATTATAAATAGAATCAAAATTCACTCTACAACTTTTTATTTTGAATCTGGGTCCGTTCGCGCCCAATCACGTTCGCCCCCATGCACGTTCGCCCCCCTTTCACTTTCGCACCCTACACGTTCGCACCCAAAGTCCGTTCGCACCCTACACGTTCGCGCCCAATTTTTATTGGTTTTGTGTTTAATAATTTGTAAACGAGTTTTGGTAAGTGTATTGCTATAAATATATATGTTTTCATTGTTTCTAAATAAAGTGAGATTCTGACAAGGTTTTTTTTGTGTCATGGTAAATGTATTGCTATAAACATTTTTTTTCATTGTTTTTAAATAAAGTGAGATTCTGACGACCAGTATTTTATTTTTGTGTTGAATAATTTTTAATCATGTTTAGGTAAGTGTATTGCTCTATATATCTATATATATATATATAAATATATATATAATTTTTTTTTTTCATTGTTTCTGAATAAAGTGAGATTCTGACAACGGTTTTTTAGGTGTTGATAAAATCTTAATCATGTTTTGGTTAGTGTATTGCTATAAATATTTCTTTTTTATTGTTTCAAAAGGAAATGGGATTCTGACAACGTTTTTTTTTTTTTATGTGTTGAATAATTCGTTATCATGTTTTGGATAGTGTATTGCTATAAATATTTTTTTTCATTGTTTATGAATAAAGTGAGATTCTGACACACATGAGATCAAAGGTGCCAAGCTGTTAAAAACAATTATCTTTCATGTTTTTTATTTAAAATCTTCAAAGTTTTACTCATACCAAGCTAAATACATACAGTATTTACATTTAAAGCAAGTTAAAACAACCATGACAACAATCATGATTTTTAAACACTCAACAATAACACCACATTAGGCTGTGTATAAATACCAATTAGCAGTAATCATACATAATTAACATTTAATAATTAATCACTCAAATCAATTTAAAACAATATTTCATTTAAAAATTCCCGAATTTTTATTTATGAAAATAAAAATATTTTGATATAAACATCTACAAAACATATAAAAATTTATCAGGTTTTTGAATAAAAAAGGGTGCGAACGTGTAGGGTGCGAACGGACCTAGGGGGGCGAACGTGTGGGGTGCGAACGTGTAGGGTGCGAACGTGTATTGGGCGCAAACGGACCCGATACCTTTTATTTTCAGTGTCATGTAATCATGATAATTGTTTTCATAATCAAATAGCAATTCTTAGAGGAGAAAAATAGTATACTTATGTTTCAACTTACAAAGTACCCCAAAACAACCTTTTTAGATGTTTTTTTTTTGACACAATAAAGTTCTGAGCTTCCAGTCTATCTGTTTGTCCCATGTCATACAAGGATAATTGATAAACTTTATTAGAAGAATCTTCTTTTTGTAATTTCTTCTGTTTCAAAAGGTAAAACGTTAAAGTGAAACATGTAACAGCTAGGGAACATTATTTGGTTAAGATTAAACAAAATTGTTGTGCAGATTAAAGGACCCGCTATCAGTGATTCAATTAATCTCTTTTTATCTACTGAAAGTGCTTATCCTAAAGACCTGCAGTTAATGCAATTGTCAGCAATAGTGCTATATTCATGTTTTTGTACACACCATACCTAAATATGATTTGAAATTATTCAAACTTCTCTTCCAATCTTTCCATGAGTGATTTCCATCATTTTGATTGGTTTTATCACCGTGGCTTCTTCAATGGTTGTATTAATTGTATATACATTATAGTTGTCGAAATGCGTAACTGGTGCAGTAAGTATTGTACAGTTAATGTTATTTCTACAACTTGATCGATACTGTTAATCCCTTAAGGTATCACCAACCCAGTAGCCAGTGCTTTGGTACTTGAATGCAAATTCGGCTATGATTTTTGTCATTTTGTCAATTTGTGGAGAGTTGTCTCATTGGCAATCATACCACATCTTCTTATTTTTATATTCAAATGGGATGTGAGCTCATATTTCCTGTCAGTGCCCTATATCCCCTTTTGGTTTTTATCAGCTCTTCAACGTTTGTATTAGGTTTTAGATTTTAAAACACTTTGGCCTCGAATATCACTGAAGAGACGTTAATTGTCGAAATGCGGACCTGATGCAGGCAAATTGGTACATCTTCTGTAATTATTACCACTGGGTCGATACCTCTGATGGCTAAATAGTCCCGTTAATTGTGTTGTAAATAAATCAGGCCGTTAATTGGTTTTCTCGTTTGAATTGTTTTACATTTGTTATTTCGGGTCCTGTTTTAGCTGACTGTGCTGTATGGGTTTTGATCATTGTTGAAGGTGACCTATAGTTGTTAACTTCTATGTCATTTTGTCCCTGTCGGAGAGTTGTCTCATTGGCAATCATACCACATCTTCGAAGTTATTTTAATATTCACATGGAATGTTAGCTCATATTCCCTGTCATTGTCCTATATCCCTTTTGGGTTTTTATCATCTCTTCAACGTTTGCATTAGGTTTTAGATTTTTAAATATTTCGGCCTTGAGCATCACTGAAGAGATTGAATTTATTGTAGAAATGCGTATCTGGTGCAGTAAAATTGGTACCGTTGATTTTATTTCTAACACCTCTTCTGGTGGACTGTTAGTTCCCGAGGCCGGGTACCAGCCCAGTTGGAACTTGCCATTATTTCGGTACTGGCATGTTGGCCTAAATACGGATATATTGTTTGAACGAAATAAAGACATATATTGAAATTTGTTGTCATAGAATTTTGAAAATCATTTTGATTTAATGAATCATGTATTGCTACGATTCTTTGTCTTGGTTTGGTCATGCTTTATGTCATTTCGGTTTTATCAGCTCTTCTTGATGTATTAGGTTTTTCAAATATTCTGTTTGCCGGCCTCGAGCATCACTGAAGAGATGTATTCCGGCATAGACATAATGTTAATCCGGTACCTTGAAATTAGTACCGTTAATGAAATTTGTCTAATTTACTTCTGGTATCCTCTAGTGGTGTAACAAATAGGTTCCATACCTATTTACAGAGTCAGATGCAGTTAAATTGTCATTTTTGTTTACCCCTTTTTTTAATTTGTTATTTTTTTATTTTTTTTTCGTTTTATTTCAATTGTATCCATAGCGGTCACTGATGATATAAAGGGAGGGTGACACAATGTGTGATACAGAAAAAAAGTACCCAAAAGAAACTGGAGTTTTGGATATGAGCACGTACCCCGTCTCTACTGTCATTTAACTGAATTTGGAATAAGGGCCAAATTAAGTCCCCTAGCACCTGTGTGCGGGAGTGGCTATCTTTGATCACTATAACACCTAATCCTAGTGTTTATGTTTTTTTTTGTGAGAGTTATTATATGATTTGATTCTAGTTTTGATAATTTTAATGTAACCGGAAATACAGCTTCGTCCGCATCAGTCCTCAAATTTATTATACTTTTGACTTGTTGACCCACGTGCAAAAATTGAAAAATATATAGATTGCAAAATGGCACAAATATTAAGTGGAAAAGATGTTTCAGAGTAAGGAAGCGTTGAAAGTATAAAATTAGAATGTTATGAATCAATATTGAGGGTTGTCACGTCGTAGTAAGTTTGCACAAACATTTTTTACAGCCCAATACAGGTGCTTTCCAAGAGATAATTTTCGACAGGTCACTTGGTCACGGCCGCGCCTGGGACTTGACACTCTATAATTTTTACTGTTCAAGACTGAAATGACTCCAGAAGTTTTGTTGAAAGAACGGATATGAGTTGATTCATACTGAAAATTTAATAAATGTATTAGAAATTTGCTATTATATTTCTGGAATAAGGGGGAGGTGTTGAGCATACATATATATATCAGGCACTGCCACTGGCTACGATTACTGACAAAAAAATAACATTAAGAAATAATTATTGATACTTCCTAGACTTATTGCCAAAATGTATTTCCGGTAGAGACCTAATTTCACACTGAAATTGCAGGTAACAATAATATCATTTTTAGGTCACCTGGCCCAAAGGGCCAAGTGAGCTTTTCTCATCACTTGGCGTCCGTCGTCCGTTGTCGTCGTCATCCTTAACATTTTACATTTTGAACTTCTTCTAGAGAACCACTGAATGGAATGAAACCAAACATGGCATGAATGTTCCTTATGAGGTGCTGGCTAACTGTTGTTACTTTGTAGACGATCCATCATCCAAAATGGCCGCCAGCGGGGGACTTCGTTTAACATAGGACCATATGGACAATACATACAAATGTCTTCTTTTAGAGAACCACTGAATGGAGTGAAACCAAACATTACATGAATGTTCCTAATGAGGTGCTGGCCAAGTGTTGTTACTTTCTAGCCAATCAATCAACCAAGATGGCTGCCAACGGGGGACTTAGTTTAAGAAAGGACCCTATGGGAAATATATAGAAATGTCTTCTTCTAGAAAACTGCTTAATGGATTGAAAACAAACATGGTATGAATGTTTCTTTTGAGGTGCTGACCAAGTGTTGTTACTTTGTAGCCGAACCATCATCCAAGGGGACTTCGTTTAACATAGGACCCTAAGGGAAATACATACAAATGCTTCTTCTAGAGAACCACTGAATGGAATGAAATAAAACATGGCATGAATGTTCCTTATGAGGTGCTGACCAAGTGTTGTAACTTTGTAGCCGATCCATCATCCAAGATGGCCTCCAGCAGGGGACTTCGTTTAACATAGGACCCTATGGACAATACATACAAATGTCTTCTTCTAGAGAACCACTGAATGGAATGAAACCAAACAGTGCATGAATATTCCTTATGAGGTGCTGACCAAGTGTTGTTACTATGTAGCTGATCCATCATCCAAGATGGCCGCCAGCGGGGGACTTTGTTTAACATAGGACCCTATGAACAATACATACAAATGTCTTCTTTTATAGAACCACTGAATGGAATGAAACCATACATAGTTTGAATGTTCCTTATGAGGTGCTGACCAAGTATTGTTACTTTGAATGCTGATCAATCATCCAAGATGGCAGCCAGCGGGGGACTTAGTTTAACATAGGACCCTATGGGAAATACATATAAATGTCTTCTTTTAGAAAACTACTAAATGGAATGAAATAAAACATGACAAGAATGTTCCTTATGAGGTGCTGTCCAAGTGTTGTTACTTTGTAGCAGATTGGTCATTGTCCTTATAAAGTAATTTTCTACAATTTCAAAGAATTTATTGGTAAGGCCATAAAAAAGAATATGTTTGTTTGCCCTAACCCTACCTACCCAGAAAATAGCTGCCTACTCAAAATCTTTTATTGCCCTGATTTGAAAAGGTTTTTTTTTAAATCAGATAGTCATGTATACTAAAACATATCTGATACTTCAACTTCTCTTTGCCGAAAAAAGAAAGAAAATGCCTACCTACCTACCCACTGTCTCTACCTTTGGGTAGGGTTTGGGCAAACTAAAATATTTTTAAGTGTGGCCTAATTTCTGTAAACTTTACAAAAGTCTTCTTCTTTTGATTAAATTACGGGGCCAATATTAGACCAAATTTGGCCTCAATCATTATTAGGGTATCTGTTATGATTTTAATCTATTTTTACATGATTTCCAAAATCAAAGTAGAATCAGGTGAGCAAAACAGGCTCTTGATAGCCTATAGTTTTTATTATCAATTATCAAAGATTTTATTATACTTATATATTTTGAAATTTTGCAAAGCATGTCAGAACATAAAAATAAAGGCTTGACATTTAACAAAAAAAAAAAAAAAGCAAACATTGTCAAAATTTCAATTTTACAAATAACTAATTGTATAATAACATGAATGAGGACTTGGCATTAACTAAGAGGAATTCTTTACAATTAATTATTGTGTTAAAAAGCAGTTTTTGTCTCGCCATGACAGAGTCAAAAAGCAAGACATAGACATGCTGTTTCCGGTGGCGGCGTGAACATTGTATTAGTTGGTGATTAGGTCTAGTTTATGGTGAACCACTAGTGGTAGGTCAATGATATTTGGTATGCAGTTGTATAAGCATTGGCACATCTCATTACCATGGAGATTATTTGGCCACGCCCTCTCAGTCATGGTCTATTGACTTTGAAACTTTGCTTAGTTTACATGTATTAGTTTGTGATTAGGTTAGTTTCTGGTGAACCAATAGTGGTAGGTCAATTATATTTGGTATGCAGCTGTATAAGCATTGGCATATCTCATTTCTATGGAGATTATTTGGCCACTACACCCTCAGTCATGGTCTATTGACTTTGAAATTTTTGCTTAGTTTTCATGTATTAGTTTAAGATTAGGTCAGTTTAAGGGGAACTGTTAGTGGTAGGTCAATGATAATTGGTATGCAGTTGTATAAGCATTAGCACATCTCATTTCCATGGAGTATATTTGGTCCTTACCCCTCAGTCACAGTCTGTTGACTTTGAAACTTTTGCTTAGTTTACATGTATTAGTTTGTGATTATGTCAGTTTAAGATGAACCACTAATGTTAAGTCATTGATATTTGGTATGCAAATGTATTGGCCTTTGCAAGTTTCATTTCCACAGAGATTATATAACCCCACCCCCTCATTATAGTTCACTGACTTTGAAACTTTTGCATAGTTTACAAGTTAATGTTTGTGTTAAGGTTTGTTTAAAGGGAACAACTTATGAAAAGTCAATGGTATTTGGAATGCAGTTGTATTATCATTGGCACATCTGATTTCCATGGAGATTGTTCCGCCCTGTACCTTCAGTCATGGTTCATTGACTTTGAATATTTGCATAACTTACATGTTAAAGTATTTCTATTTTAATTTCAACATTTGCATTATCATAATAACAAATAGGCGAGACATATCTCTGTGTTAACAGTTTATTATAAACTAGAAAACTGTTTCAAATACAATTATTGTACTACATAATTGATTATTGAAAATAAAACAAAAGGAAACTTCAGACGTATGCAAAATTAATATAGACCACACAAGGCGTGATCAAAGACATCGTCTGTTGAAGACTAAATTAAAAAAATAGAAAACGTTGTACTCAAAATTTTATAAGCAATATGAAATGAGAGAGTTCTTTTAAAGAAAAAAAATACATTTTTTAATTGCAACGGTTATCATTTTGAGATGAGTTATGATTTTGTCAATCTATATATTTACTTGGTTATTTAGGTTATTTATTTATGTGTGAAATATGTGAAGACACAAATAACAGAAAATAAATTTCATAAACTACTTGTTTAAATAATCAAATATTTGTTTGATGTCCAATTTTATTTCAAATTGTAATTTTTCAGTTATCAGGCTAATAAAAAAAAACAAATTTAGATGATGGGTATTTGTCAATAACAACACAAATAACCAAAAGACAGTATGAACAATCCATTCCTTTTTGCGCTGTGTGTACTTTTTGTTCCTACATTTCCTAATAGCAATTTAAGATTCGTCAAGTAAGAAAATTTTGGTAGATACATGTTCTTTGTTTTTGTCGAGAATAAAATTTGGTAAAACATAGTACATATTGAAAATTTCTGAAATATGGATTAAAAAATTCATGACAATTTCTTAGCTTAAGAATTACATCCATAACGATCCTTTTTGCATCTTGTGAAACATTTTCTTCATAGATTCATTCTAGATTATTCAAGTTAGAACATTTTGATAGATACTTTATTTTTGTCCAGAATAAATTTTGATAAAACAAAGTGTATATTGACATTTCTGAGCTACTAATTACTTGATTACTATATATAAATTAACAAATATAAACTATGACATAAACCAGATATAAAGTCGGTTCCTATCTGGTACTGGTGATTACACCATGTCGTACATAATAAAAATCACAATTTTCATGTTTTTTAAAATATTTTTTTTTATATATTTTCAGAAATTACTCCAATTAAAGGTCCTTTGTGCTCTTATTACACTCCTTTGGGGTCCTTTGTGCTACATTGTGCTCTTTTGTGCACAAAGGATGTCAAAACAGTTTGTGATCAACAAAAATAATATTGAATGAAATTATTAGTTTTAAACATTTAAAGCATAACACTGTTTTCTCTTAAAAAAAAACACATTTGAGCACTTTTAACTCACCTTTCCGAAGGAAATGTGAGCTTTTGCCATCACTTGGCGTCCGCCGTCGTCGTCCGTCCCGTGTAAACTATTTCAAACATCTTCTCCTTTGAAACTACTGAACCAATTCCAACCAAACTTAAACTGAATGATCCTTAGGGTATCTAGAATAAAGTTTGTGTTTTATTTTCTGTTTCGGCAAAAAACATGGCCACCATGCCTAAAAATAGAACATAGGGGTAAAATGCAGTTTTTGGCTTATACTTCAAAAACTAAAGCATTTAGAGCAAATCTGACATGGAGCAGTATATTATTGTCAATAATAGCCAGCACGTATACGTAATTTGACACATCTTCTTTTCCATATCATATCGGTAATTAGATGACCCAACAATGTAATCGATACGATTGTCGAGTGTCACAGCCCGTCAATATATCATGTCCCAGGTCTGCCTGCAGTAATTGT